GTCCGTGCAGTAGGTGTGAATAACACGAAGGTATGAAGAAAACAGCTCCCCTGCTTGGCAGGGCCCCGGGGGGGGGGGGGGGGGCTTCCAGCTGTTGGGCAGGGCCCGGCAGATTTCTCTCTGACCACCTTGACACTGTTTCACCCCCGTTTGCATGGACACTCAAGCACCCCACTAAGAATTTTATCTATTGAGGCACTGTTTGCCCCTGTGAGATGGCTTTTGCAACCAACATGAGCTTGAGAGTTAATGTTATTGATAATGTCTTGGTGAGTGGGCCTTTAACTGCATACAGGAATACAATTAAACCCTTGCCGTTTCTGGACACCTTATTGTGTGCCTACCCACTGCCCTGAAATCAGGCCCAGACATTTAGCATGCTTTCTGGGAAATGGCTTGATAAGAATTTTACAAACTAATGAAAGTGATGGGAGTATGGGCTGAAACTGCTATGACAAAAAATATAGCTACTGGGACCATAGAGGCTATCCTGTTACTGTGATCCTAAAGGCTGAGCTTGCAGGCCTAATGGCTAACTAATGTCAATGACCCCAGTACCCCGACACTGTAGTTCTGTCTTTAAGAGATCTTACCTTTTAGTGATGTGTACTGACATATTAACTGACATTTGCTTCAAAATAATCTGATAGGAGCAGACAATAGGTGGAGAAAAATGCAATAATGTATGCCTGTGCTGATCACTATTGAAAGAGGTTAGTGGGTACAGGGAGTTTGTAGCACTGTTGTCTCTACTTTTTTTGCTGTCTGAAAATTATACGATTAAAAAAAAGGAGTGCTGGGGCCAGCGCCGTGGCACAGTGGTTAAGGTCTTCGCCTTGCACGCCCGGGATCCCATATGGGCGCCGGTTCTATCCCAGCAGCCCCGCTTCCCTTCCAGCTCCCTGCCTGTGGCCCAGGAAAGCAGTCGAGGACGGCCCAAAGCTTTGGGACCCTGCACCCGTGTGGGAGACCTGGAAGAGGCTCCTGGCTTCGGATCAGCATAGCATCGGCCGTTGCGCTCACTTGGGGAGTGAATCATCGGACAGAAGATTTTCCTCTCTGTCTCTCCTCTCTGTATATCCGCCTTTCCAATTAAAAAATAATAATAAAAATAAATCTTTAAAAAAAAAAAGGAGTGCTTACAGCAAGTTAACCTTCTCTAATTCATGGGAAGGAGAAGCTAAACTGAAAAGAGTAAGAACAGGGTTGGGAATACAGAAGTCTTCTATTGTGGGAGTGGAGCTGGCTCTTTCTTCAAGGCTGAGCAACAGAAGAGGTGACAGACAGAGATAGGGAGATAGTGAGCTCACATTCCAGGAGTGAAAACCCAGACAGATGCAACTGGACCTCCAAGGGGAAAGATGAGAACCATCTGCTTCACAGAGGTATTGATGACTCAACCAAAAGAATCAGCAAAAGGTGACACTAGCAAAATAAAGTATTGTCCTGATATCTCAGTGATGGAATCTCTTGTAGAAATCTCATCAATCCCTTTATAAATACTTCTGGGAAATATGAATCTAGAATTTTTTTATCTTACTCCTTGGATGGGCATTGTGGAGCAACAAGTCAAGCTGCTGCTTGGGGCCATTCAAGAGGCACCATGAAAGAGAGTGCCTCCATTCGAACCTTGCCTCCACTTCTGATGATGCATAAAGTAGGAGACAGCGTGTGAGGGCCTGACTCCTTGGGTCCCTGCCACCCATGTAGGAGAACTGGATGCAGTTCCTGGCTCCTGCATAGGGCCTGGCTCAGCCCCAGCTGTTGCAGGAATTTAGGGGAATGAATCAATGAACAGGAAAAAATACCTCTCTGTCTTTCTCTCTCTCTCTCTGTGCATGTATGTCTCTCTCGCGCTCTCACCCTCGTGAGAGTGTGTGTGTGTGTGTGTGTGTGTGTGTGTGTGTGTGTGTGTGTGTGTGTGTGTGTGTTGCTCTACCTTTCAAATCAATAAAGATAAATAGAGGAAACTTAGCCAGGGTAACAAGTTAGGTGGTTCTGCCTCCTGTCTCTGGGTTATCAGCCTGCTTTTGCAGAAGGTCACATCACACTGATTTCTAAACCTTAAATATATGATTTTCATCTGCTAAAGTTAGATATTTATTCTAAAGTGCAAACTTGATCAGTTCCCTGAGAATCAAAGACTACTGGGCTCCAATTAGTTCTCATTCTAACTGTTGTTTTCTGGAACAGTTTTCCCATTAATTTCATTAATCCTGAGGAAAGAGCCTCTAATTTCTAATTACATAAGCACAAAGCCAAATATATCAGCTCAGAAATTTCCTCTTTGCCAAAACACAGCAAACATATATTTCTGCCTAAGTCAAAACTTGCCCCTTCATCATATTTCTCACATCCAGAAAATCATCTGCACCATGAAATTATTTCCTTATTCTCCAAGGTGTGCACACGAGATAAACACTTCCTAGAGATTTCACCCATCCTAGAAACACTACACACCTCCCCCAAGCACACTGCTGATCTCTGTGACACAGTCCTGCCAACCCCAGTATTCTCTTGATCAAAACCCACCCTGGTATGCTCAAGTTGTAGTCCGCTCCATTAGAAGAGAGTAGCCAGCCCTAAAGAGTTCTTGGGGACCTGTTGGCCTCTTCCCATCCATCTCAGGAGCCTGCAGCCAACCTGTCTAATGTTTCTCATAGTCACAGTGGCCATGAACCCTTTGAGTTTCAATTTTCCCACCTATAAAGAGGGCAGAGAATGGGCCCCATGATCTCTAGAAGCTCTTTAATTCTACAGTTCTTAGTGTCTGTGTCTCAAGCTAAGCTGATGAAGCATGTTAAGTCACCACCCACTTCCCCTCCTTGTCCTATAGACCTGTGTAGCTATTCCATTTGAGAATTCCACAATTTAAAGTCTGTGAAGGAAGTCCAGATTGCTTCTAACAAGATGAGCTGTTTGATTTTGTTTTGTTCTTTAAGTGTTGAGTTAGAACCACATGTTTGTCCTTTGGGGTCTTGCTGCATCTCTGACTATAGTCCCCAAGAGTTTACTTATGACCAAGAACAAATACAGATCTCCATTATAACGGTGTAGTGGGAATTGCTTAAAATGTATCCTTAGACTAAGCTCTTATCTGAGCCTTCTGGGTTCTCGTTACATCTCTAGGGTTACTGTGGGCATCATAACTGCAGTTTAAATGCATCTCCCTTTATGCTATAATCCCTCAAGCATTAAAAGAGCTTCATATATTCTTTTACCTGTCCATACTTGATTCAATTTTGATCCAGCCTCAAGCAAAATATTTAAGTAAAATTAATATCATCAAGATCTGACAAGGAAACAAAATCCATGCTAGACAGTTCAATTGAATAAATTTAAAAATATGTATGTAACTAGTTACAGGAGTGTTGGAAGAGCTCAAAATAAGCCTTACAGGGATTATTCAGAAAGTAACAATTAAAAGAAGTCACTGCTACCCTTTGGACATGAGGACAACGAAGAGATGATGTTATTGGTGAAGTAACCAGAGCTATCTTATGAGAGCTGAAGCATTGGAGAAGGTTCCAGACAGAGCTGGAAGCATGATGAGTTTCCCCTGAGAGCCACAAGGGTGGGGTTTCCCAGCAGGAACTGGACACAACCACTGCTTGGTATGATCCCTAAACAGAGACGAGAAACACTCTGGCTTCTTCCCCCTTCCAAATTCCCATTGCCTACCAGTCACTCTGATTGGTTGAACCTAACCAGGAGGCAACAGACAGGAGAGTCTGCAAAATAAAAGCTAACCTCTTGGGATTCAAAGACAGGAAGGATAAGAGGTGGATTTAAGAGAAACAGACAAGTCATCTGCATAAGAATAGGAATATTTTCAACCTCATTAGTAATAGGGAAATTCAATCCTAAGCCACAAAGGGACACCACATCCTCCTACCAAAATGTTGAAAAGCCAAGCATTGGTGAAGATATCAGCATGTAATTGCTGGTGCTCACTGACAGGAAAACTCACGCAATGTGCATTGCTTAACAAAACTGTTGCTGAACATACCATGTGCTCCATAAATTCCAAGTCTAGGAGAATTTCTGAGTAAAAATTCCTCGGGAAACTAAACAATGTATGCCAGGAACACAAAAATACTCACATTTGCATTGTTAAGGGCTGCAAACTACCCAAATGGAAATTACTCAGGTATCCATCAACAAGGGAATATTTGGAGTATGTTTTATTCTTATAATGAAATGCTACATAAAAATAAATGAGCAACAGCTAAACATGCCAATAAACATCACAGATGTTTGATGAACCACAAAGGAAAGCAGGATAAAGTTAATCTTGACATTATTCCATTCACATTGTTAAAACAACAACAACAAAAAAGAAGTGAAAAACTATACAACATTTAAGGAAAGAATTGTATGTGAGGAACTTAAAAGGAAGGAATGATAAATAATTCGGAGGAGTCTTCACTTTTGTGTGGGAATAAACTGAGTATGATTAGGAAAAAGCCCATAGCATAGCAATTTTGGGGGTTAGGAAGATATAGTTATATTTTAGAATTGAAATAAAGATTTTAAAGACCACCAAAAGCTCATTTCCAACTCCACCATCATTTTAGCTGCCAACACAATATTGTTAACATTCCGATACATCTACCAGGTTCTATAGAAGGATTGCCACCCTTCACTTGTAGCTATTAACCTTGACTAATCCTCTGTGTATTTGAGTTTTCAAAAATAAGAATACATAGGAATACCTGTTTCCAAGATGATGACTAACCAAGAATGCACACAGTAAAACCCTTAGCACTGTGGCCCAGCATCCAAGGGGATGCAGGCATCTAATATTTTATTCACACTGTTGTGTCAGTTTGAACTATCTTCTTTGTCTATCGAATTCATTGTCTACTGAATGTCACTTATTCAAAGATATCTAGTCTAGCGCCAGAAGACCCTCCCTTCCACACAAGTCCCCCTGCATATACCTTAAATGCCCAGACCTGTTATCTGCACCATTTATGAGGCACACAACATATACTCACTCATTCAGTCATCCAGTGAATCACATACCAGGTCCTAGAAACACGGAGGTGAATAAAGCAGACAGCCTGTGCTTTCATGAAGCCTGCAACCTGGTAAAGGAAAGAAACAAATGAGACCTAAGCACATAAATATATAACCCAGTTGTGCATGATACGATCAGGGAAAATATGGGATGCCTTGAGAATCTGTCACATAGGACACTAGAATCCAGACAAATTTCTGTGAGAAAGTGACAGTCAAGGTGAGACCTAAAGCAAGCTCCTTTTTAAATGTCCCTATAGAGAATATAGATGGCTTGAGGATCTATAACCTAAGTGGAACGTCCATGCATCTGTCCCTAAAGAAAGACTAACAGCAGGAGATGATACCAACTGAACAGAACCCAAAATTATAAAGGTTCTTAGAGAATGATTAACCTCACAGCCAGGGCTCTTCAGAGAAGTGTTCCTATATATTACAGAGTTTAACAGGAAAAAAAAAACAGGAAAAGAGAATTAAGACAAGGGAAGGAAGAAAGAGGCACTCTGGTTGTATGTGTGTAGGCAGAGATGAGAAGACAGGTTCAGACAGGTTGCTTGAGCCAACAGGTGACACCAGATGGAAGGTCGTGGAGGACAAAGGTTCAACAAAGGCAGCTGGCCTCAAATGTGGGTGCAGGGATTTAACCAGGTACAGCTGGTGGGAGAGCTAGACTACAGGGAGACAAACACACGACATGGTCGGAAGGAAGTCAAGTTTCTAGTGTGGCACATAGTTGAGGTATGTGTGTGTGAGAGAGAGAGGAGGGCGAGAGATCCAGAGAGAGAGAGATGATTTTGGTGAGGGCCCAAGTGGAAATGAGAATATTCATTTGATATGGAATTTTGTTTTTGTATCATGGACTACTTTGAACTTCCCATGAGAGCCTTGGACCCCTCCTCCTCAAAGAAGCTGCATGCAATTTCAGGGAACTTTCAATTGGGAACCACGGTTACAAGCAGCTGTATTAAAAGGACTTGAACAGAATGGCACAGTGTTCCAGGGTTTAGAAGAGTTCACTTGCCTGCAAGGATTGCAACTGTTGGCAGCAAGGTCAGTTGAGAAATTATTGCAATAGGGCATAAGACAAGGAGGCACTCGTATGACCCTAGACTAAGGTGAGAACTGTAAGAATTCACTCATTCATAAAGCTAACCTTTATGGAAAGCTTAATCTGGCCTGTGACCAGTGTTGGGGACATCATAGCAAATAAAACAAGGCCAATGCCCTCAAGCTCCAAACCTGAGGCAGGGCCAGGAGCAAAGGAAGAGAGCTACAAATGCAGTGGGCATCAGATGGCTGGGAGGCTCTTACACAGGGAATGTCCCAAGACTTTAGTTCTCTACCAAACAGCCACCTGTCCCCTTTCTGCCGTCATTTCCTCTTAGTCTTTCACCACAATTTCTCTCTGCTCCCTGTAGGGTTCTGTCTTCCATCTAGCACTTTCCTGCCTCTGATCTTTCACTGTTTTTCTCCCACCAGCTGCACCTGCTCCCCTCTTTTTCAAGGCCCGTTTGAGACATGTGCCTTCCTTGAACCTTTGTCTGCCCGGCGCGGCGTGTGCTTCACTTCCCCCCACACCCGGGGGACTCTGGGAGGGTAGAAGAGGTCTTTTGATTGTATTTCATGAGGCGTCCAGTTCCCGCGGTGATAAATCTACTGTAAAGCTAGAGCCTGGGAGATGACGGAGCCAGAGTGGATCCAGAACCATTACTAGCACCCTGGACTCTGGTGGCACCTGCTGGGAAGTCCCACCCTACGGACTGACTGAGTGCTGGGGAACAGGGATGAGGGTCACCTCTGCTACACTTCATACTTTCAGCGATGGTACACTATGTGGGATTCGCAACTTTTGGTTCTGAGTGTAGACGTCTGTATTTCTCCTGGAGGTAATAATGTGTCAAACTGTTAAAACAGCTTACTTGAGGACTCATGAAGGCCAACATCCTCCCAGCAAATGTTACAGTCACGAGGGCTACTCTTGGTTTTAATTCTTCACAAATCACAGGTCGAACAGGAAGGTACCAAACATCCCGTCGCTGCGTTTTCCAGGCTCTAGAAGCAGGCCAGGTGGAACACTTGGGCTTGGCCGTAGCTGCCACAGTACCGCTGTGTATTTTCCCAGCTGGCGGAAGAAGGGGTTGTGGGGACCTTCCCAGCCCAGCGGCGGAATGGAGAAGTCGGCCCTGCCCGCGGCACACTAGGCCAAGAGCAAGGTTCGAAACCGAAGAACCCTCCCACCAGGGCGGTGCGAAATTCCAGCAGGCGCCGGGTCTCCCCGGCTGTGCCGGCGACGCGCTGGAGGTGCGCACCCGCAGCCGAGGCCCTGCGCCGCTCGCGTCCGCTCCCTCGACGCGCACTTCCCGCCATCTCGCGCGTCCCACTCACACAGGTGTCCGAGGCAGCCGCCCCCGCCCGCTCCTCCGGACCGAGGAGGCCGCGCCGGATTGGCCGAGGGCGCAGGGGAGGGCGGTGCCTGCGCCTCTGAAGGTCGCGGGGCAAAGGCCCCGGCGCTGCCAGCCGGGCGCACCTGCAGGGCGGCGCCGTCCGGGCCGGCTCGGGATGAAGGCGCGTCCGGCGACTCCTGGCCGCGCCGTGGGGCTCCTCACGCTGCTCCTCCCGTGCTTGGGGCTTGCGGAGCCTTCTAGCCATTCAGGTAACCACCGGTCATTTGGAGGGGTTGGCTCGACGCTGAGGGAGCGGCCACCAGTCCTCCCTTCAGGGTCAGGACCCCGGCTCCCCGGCGGGTCCCGGTTGCTTTGCGGGAGAGATCCAGAGTGGGACCGCGCGAGGGACGGGGCATCAAGCGGAGGCGGCGCGCCAGTGCTCCGAGGCCCTGAGGATTCGCCGCGGGAGTGGGAGGGCAGGGCCTCTCTGGTGCCAAGGGGACCCTAGCCAGTCTCTCTTGGGCAGGTCTGTCGTCCGTCCCTTGCGACCTCCTATCCTGGAGGATGGGGTTTTCCACCTGCCTCCTACCATCCTGTCTGGCCCTACTCGCCCCAATTCCCCTGCTTCCTTCACATCCCTCCAGGTCGCCAAGGATTCCTCCCGAGTTCACCGCGCCCAAGTGCGCGTCAAAAAGGGACGCCTCCCCAGTTGCCCCTTCCTTGTAGCTGGCTTTTCAGCGCGAAACTACATCCCACCCCCACCCCAGACTGACAGCTTCACCCGGAAGCGCAGGTCGCTGGCTCCGAGACCAGCTGAACTGGAGCCGGGACCAGATGCCCGGCGCTAACGCACCAGGTGGTGCCGGCCCTGCCATCCGTCTGTGCAGCCTGCACATCTTGCTTTTACTTTCTCTTTTTCCTTGGCGAAAGGTGTGCCGAGGACTTTGTTTCTTGGTCGGGTCTCCCAGCAGTCTGTGGACTTTCTCCACCGCCTCTGTGTTCCCACCGGTAGGAGGAAGGAACCGTTGGTCAGGCAGTGCTTGAAACGCAATAAAATCGTTGGTGGCTCTTAGGTTCTTTGCTGCCCAGCTGCGTGACTGGCTGGGTTTGACCTTTGAGAGAGTTTTCCTACCGGAGTCAAGGACCTCTTCAGGGTCTTTGCCTCCCCTCCCAGTCCTCCTTGCCCCTCTGTGCTGGGAACTACTGTAAGAGTCACCACTCTCGAAGTCCTTGCTGTGAACAGCCCGTTTCCCTTCCTGATACCCCAAAAGGAGAGTATCACAGCAGTCCCTAACTATGGTGAAAACACTAACCTTGGAATCTCTAACCTCTTGGTTCCAACTTCATCCTCTTTAGTCCTACCTTTGTTTCTCCTCCGCAAAATTTTTATGTTCTTTAGTTCTAGAAGTCTCTTGCAATCTCCATCATTTCTCCAATGCTAACGCTGGGTCCCTACAGATGTTTGTTGTCCTACATTCTTCCCTACTCCTGACTGCCGCTCTGGTCAGCTCATTCTCAAAGCGAAAGAGCAGCCTGCTTGGGAGAAGCACTGAAACAGTGAATACCCAGCAGTGGAGGTTGCCTTTTTGGCAATGTGTCAGCTTCAAGATGCTGTTGATGCCTTGTCCTCTGTCAGGTGTGCACAGGCAGGTTTGGGCAGGTGGTCTTGGTAACCCTAGTGCTGAAGGAGTGTGTGCGTCTATGTCCCTGGAGAGATGCCATACTTACTTGCTTGGTTTACTTTTCTTGCTTTCTTGGAGAGCCAACAGTTCAAAGTAAAACACTCCTTTAGGGATTGCTGAGGTCCTTGGCAGCCCAATGCACTCAGGCAGTACTTTGTGATTCCAAGATGGTCATGGACCCAATCGGACCTGCTCTTGAGCTGGGAAACCCAGACCTCTGATTCTCACCTGCTGCACCTGTGCACCGTGTACACATGGGAGAGACTCCACAGAACACTGCGCAGTGTGAGCCCTGTCTGTTTCTCTGAAACGCTGAGTGCTGCCGAGTTCATCCTTCCCGACATCCCCAGCTGTCCCGTCCTCCCACACACACACATCTGTGGTTAGCTCTTGGGTTGAGGCTGTGTAAGAACAGGAGTTATTTCACAGTCAGATAATATAAAAACACTGAGATAGGTGGTTTTCCATCAAGAGATGTAAAAATACCAAAAATTTGCTTTCAATTCATGATAATACTACTTAAGGCATTTTCTCTGAACCACCAGCAGAGTATTTATATCAAATGAAACATAGTGAAAATGTTTCTGGCATAATGAGGCAGCTTACAATCTACTTCTGCCTTTGAGATGTGTCACAGCATTGTGTTTGGAGGTAAGCGTTAAAACTCCATGAACCCCACTGAGGACCAGTGAGAAGTGATAAAGCGAACACTTGCAATGTAAAGCCATCAGGAAAGCATCTGGCTTTCTAAAAGCTCTGTAGTTCCCTTTTCAAAGTTGAATACACGGCTATGATCATTTCTGTAACATTTGGCAACACGTTTGTGACTTAAAGAATTATTTTCATACCCTTTCAGTGCTTCTTCCTGCCATTCTGCTATCCCATATTGTCTTAAAACTGAACTTGACTGAACAGCTGCTGGTAAGGGTGAAGAGAATATGGGAAAACACCATGAGAGGACAGGACTCTCCCTAGCTAATATACTATGTGTGAATGCTTGCATGTACATTATGCCAGAAGGCCGGTTCAGTTTCCTGCAGTAATCTCAGTGTCTGTGTTAAGTGTCAAACATTGCTTTTTTGACATACTTGATGCAGATACAAGTTTAGTTTGGAGTAAAAACTATTTTTGCAGATGTTGCAATTTATTAGAAATCTGGAAATCCCTCTGTATCATGGCTATTCCATGCTGCCCCATACTTCCTTTGTAGTCTGTCAGAGTTCCTGTGACTGGAAAGACAACAGGTGTCCCAGAAGTAAAGCATGTGTAGGAGAGTGCGAAGAGTACCTTTCTCTCTTTCAGAATATGTGCATAAAGCAACACTCACTTCTGTGCAAATGACCAGTGCAAGGGGGATTAGAACAAATGACATACCATCTAGCAATAGCATGACATAAACTAGTGGACATCTGTTTAAAAACAATACACAGCTTGGCTAAAGAACTAAGGACACCATTATCTTGGAGAAATGGTTACATAGGTTGTTACCCCCCACCACCACCCCCGGCAAAGTGGTTTTTTAAATCTTACATTCTGCTCCTTTCATCCATCTCTTGGAGCAATGAGGACCTTGGAAAACCAAATCAGTGACAAGTTCTCCCAGCTAAACAGGGACAGAAGTAAGTTTTCAATATAGGACCTCCAACTCCTTGTCCTGCTGTCTTTGGCCCTATACTTGTTTTTAGCTAATTTGAAAGTTTCTACAAAGGTAACTTAAAAAATCTAGAGCTCCAAGTGGAGTTTGAAAAAGAAGCATAGGTGCTGCCTGCTCAGTTCATGTGTTTGAGAGCAAGGGGCATGGAGCTCAGTGCCTGGGAAGCAGCATGGTGAGACTGCAGGAAAGGGGCTGCGGAGGAGTCTCCAACAAGGGTGTTTATTATGTCTGCTGCAGGGGCATGGTTTTTGTCTTTGTTTTTTTGTTTTGTTTTTCCTGCTGTAATTCCTGATACTTTGGTATACAGGATAATTTTGGAGAGGTGAAACAGAATTGCTTAGAACAGAGATAGAGCAGGGTGTGAATGGTTGTGGAATATGTGGAAGTATGAGTGGTATTCTTAAGATACTACATATTTTCTTGTTGTCCATCCTTCCAATAACCATCAAGTAGAGAGTTAAGAGTGAAGGAGGAAAGCTGACATGGTAGACATGCAAAGTTGAACTGTGCATCTTTTCAAATTCAAATCTGAGCACAAAATGTAAGGAATTTTTTTTTTTATTGCTGATGATTCTTTCTGCTTCTGTTCTTCTTTAAAACACAAACTAAAAACAAAACCAAAAAGCCACCCAAAGTTCAAGTGGCAGTCAAAGCTAATATTACGTTATTATTTACATGGTAAAATTTCCCCTGAAATTGCTGCCTCTAGTATGAAAATGTTTGACTCTACAAGCTGATGGTTTATGACTAGACAAGGTGTTCAGTAATAACAGTGATAGTAAGTTGTCATCAGAATGAAACTGCCTTTTGGGAACCAAAATTATTCAGGTCTTTCTGCTGAACACTGCTTCGTCGACAGTGATTGCTTAAGCTTTTCTAAAATATTTCAGCTTTTCCTTCATTAACATAATGATCCACGAGATTAATTTTTACACTTTTTTAAAGAACTGACTAAATTATTCAGTAATAGTTTGTTATAACAGCTGTGTATTTTGCTTCACAAGCTCAGGCGGGCAAGGAACAACTCATTTCTTCATTTTCAGAAAATCAAGTTAAACTTGATTTTGAGTTTAGTTTGTCAGGATAACTAAACTTCGAATCCTGTCAGGATAGGGGTCGTTTCTAGCTTGTACAAATTGTCACAGAGTATTCAGGGAGGTATTCCTTTAGATTGCAGTTGTTTTTTTTTAATTAATTGTATTGCATTATGTGACACGGTGTTATAGGCACTGGGATTCCCCCACCCCTCCCCGAACCCTCTCCTTATGGTGGATTTCTCCACCTTGCTGCATTACCACAGTTCAAATTCAGTTGAGGTTCTTTCATTGGAAGTATTTACCAAGCATAAAGTCCCACATCTTATTATCCTAATGAGTTCAACGATTTCTTGGTGAGACCATCTCTGGTCTGAAGGTAAAGCCGGCAAAGTATCGTCCCAATCAATTAAAAGCCCCAACATAACATTAACGACAATTTACAACCTTATGGCATTAATTGACATGGTATTGATTAGCCATTATGTTAATAGGAAAATACAGGTTCTCAGCTGCATCCTGTGACTTCTTCAAGCGGTTCCTTCTGAGTTTCCCACTGTTCAGATCTGTTAGATCTTGAATCTAGAGGCTCAAGGGGTTCAGGGTTCAGCCTCCTTAGGTGATCCATACACTTAAGGCCCCTCCACCCCCAAAACCTCCCACCAGGTTGTGCTACCTTCTTACAGGTAGTACTCCAGAGCTGGCCGCAGATCTCCTCTGCTCTCCAAACCCAAACTGCTATTTATTCCCATTCATTTACCCAACACTTCTACTTCTACCCCCTGAAAAGTCTCCCCGTCTCCTCTGAGATAACTCAGTGAATTTGGATTTCCACGAAAAGGCCTACTGAGAGGTGATTTGTAAGCGAATTCTCCTTTTGCTTGGCCATGCTCACTTGCTGGGGCTAGAGGAGCACAGACATGTTTCAGGAGAAGGAATCATACAGTGAGAACAATGCACTGACTTCCCATGTAATGTAGCTCCCTGCCATTATAGCTTATGTGTAAGAACTAGGCACAGGACATTTCTCCCTGACCATAGTCCACTTTAAGGAAGATAGCCAAGGAGCTTCTTTAGCTCATTAAACAAGAGGGAAACAATCTTCCATGCAGTAGCGACTATACAGACGCTTTGCATCTTCATACGCTATATCCTCTGCACGAAGCAGGTACCATGTCACAACTGAAAAATCTGAAGCCGGAGACTTTTTTTTTTTGCTAATCACATGACTTCTAAGTAGCAGAGGCAGCCTATGAACCCAGGCACACCAACTGCAGAACCCATTGCTTTGTCCCACTCTGTGCTTACTGCTTTTTCAGGCACAGCTACCCTGCTGCTTTGTGCAGGGACCTTCCAGGTTACCAGGCTAAGAAGGTGGGAACAGGCTAGTGGTGCAAGCAGGGAACTAGGTGCACTGACTACATAATTCAGACTGCTAAAGTGTCTTTCCTTCACTGTCCACCTTGACTCAGGTAATGAGCCATTCACCATTGTCCATGAAAACACTGGCAAGTGCATCCAGGCGCTGGATGACTGGATAGTAACAAAGGATTGTAATGGAACCCAGGACATGCTATGGAAGTGGGTGTCCAAACATCGGCTCTTCCATTTGCAATCCCAGAAGTGCCTTGGCCTGAATATCACCAAACAAAAGGATTCTTTGAAAATGTTTAGCTGTGATTCCCCTGCCATGCTGTGGTGGAAATGTGAGCACCATTCTCTTTATGGTGCCGCCCAGTACAAGTTGGCTGTGGAAGACGGACATGCCATAGCAAGCCCAAACACATCTGATGTCTGGATAAAGGGAGGCTCATCAGAAGGCCTTTGTGACCAGCCTTATCATGGTAAGTACTGGGGAGGAACTTTGACTTGGTTTTTATTGTGTTTATTAAATGTGACCGCAAATATGCCCAGCTGTGTAAGAAGCAGCTCAGACTGTAGTAAAATCAGTGAGGAAGCTGTTCGATTCTGACCACGCTGCTGTTGCCAGGAACCTCATCCTGACCCCCGACCTGTGAGGGCAGTCACACTCACTAATGCTCCCAACCTGTATAAATAAGGCCAAGGAAGGATGTCTCACAGAGGTCAGAGGCCGTAACACGTAAACCCAGGCCCTCAAATTCACCAGGTACTGAGCATAACTACCTCCGATGGTGACTCTGAACTCCAGAGGAAAGCAGCAGTTTCACGATCAGGAATTTTCATACAGGCCAAAACATTAAGTAGTCTAATAGAACTGATCTTATTCCAAGTTAAAAATAAAGTATATTTTTCCTCGTCTGCAGTTTTGATATGACGGGAACATTGTAAGAGTTTCATGTGGGTTATTCTTCTTTTGGGGATGGGTATCACACATGAGGTTTCCATTTATGATCAGTGTTTTGAGGCTGGGCTTCTCAATTGCTCAGAAAGTAAATATATGAACATTGCCAGGAGATAACTGGGCCACAAACTATAATCAGCAGCAATGGACTGGAGTGTAATGATTTTTCAGGTTTGAAAAGAATACAAAGATTTCTTTTTTAAACACCAAAAGTAATCTATTATGGCCCCTAACAAATCTTTTTTCATCATATTCTAAATTATAGCAATGTTTATATATATGTTAATATATATAATGTATATATATATATACATATATATATAAGTTAAGTCACACTATCTTGCCTTTCTTCTTAAAGCTTAGATTGCTTTAGAGAGGTTTTCCTCAACTTTTAAATCTCTTACAAACTAATTTTAGCCTCATACTCAGGATAGCTGCTTCACTTCCCATTTTCTGCAGGTTTTTCTCCTAGTGAAAAATGCAAAAAATTTGAGAGAATATCCAGATGTATTATTGCAGACCTATATTAGAGAGCTGCAGTGGGGGTTGTCCTTTATCCCAGTCCCCTGCCAAACTGTAGTTGAACAAATCTGCCTATAGCTGCTTTCTCCTAGATGTAAAGTGGCTGCTTAAAATAAAAGCAATGGCTTTCTTGATACCACTTAATCTTTAGATATCATTCTACAAAAACCTCCTTCTAACCTAAAAATTAAGAGTAACATGTCCTTTGGGCTGGATTTTACTTGTACTGTCATTGGCTCAGGGATCAGACAGGACGTGCCGTCTGGCAGGCCTCTCTGTCTCCTGCCCCCAGTTCTGTTGAAGGATGTGGTTTACTGTAATCTTATGCATTCATAGTATTTTTCTGGTAAGGGAGTCCATGGGGTTCACACAACTGTTGAAGTGTTTCATGGCACAAGACAAGACTAGAATCCCAACAATAGTGGTACAGAAAGTATCAGCCCGTCATCCCATTGTCTAAATATATCCAACACAAAAGAATCCACCTCTCAAAAGAAAACAGCATCACATGCACAGCCCACAGCCTTGAAGTGTTTCCTTACTTTTCCAAACACAGGCTTTTTTTTTTAAACACTGAGTTGACTAAAACAGGTGTAGTTTTGGCTAGTCAAGACATAGTCAGACTTTGATTTGCACGGAGGTCATGGCCAAAGCTGCTCTCTTCTCTGCTCCTCTCTGGGTGACAGGTGTGCATTCTACAAGGCACCCCAGAGTTTTTGTGATTTCCCTTCCCACCATGTAAATTTAATGAAATACTAAGTTCTGACAGTTCTGCCTTTTTAAAATCTATGCATGTTTCTTCCTGGACTGCTGCCAAAAGTTAGAGATGTTCTGTGAGATGGCTCTCTCAGACTCCTAATACAGGTTCCTATCTTCCTTTCTTAGCTAGCTGTATGCACAGACAAAATACAAGACACTTGAGTCCCAACAAATGCAGTCTAAAATTAGCCGGTTTGTTCTGACATAGCGAAGGCTCTGAGTCAAGATCCTTACCCCCCGCCCCCCAAGATACCTTCCTTTTCTCTCCCTTGATTTTTGCCATGTAAAAAAAATGAAAAAATTCTAATATTATTGAGCCCTAAATCCTCCTTTCCAGAGCCATTTTCATCGTAAAGAAAAGCTCCCCCCCCCCAGTTATGTACCTTTTATGAACAAACTACTTTTGACTAGAACCTAGGTACTCACTTATACTGTTAAGATATGTTGTTCTCAACAGCAGTCGTCACATCTTTGAGTGTCTGCTGAATTGTGCAGAAGAAATGGAACTGTCTGATTTGGGGGGCAGTTCTTAGAAGCCTGCCAACCTCTTCAATTATTAAAGCTATTTTGCCTCATGTGGTAGAAGAAATGAATTTGTTTCCCAAGCACACCATCTCATGAAACTTTACCTATTGCATAGTAAGCTGTTGCTTTAAAAATGTTATTGCCATAAATTGGCATGTTTAGAGGATGTTAGTTTTGGAAAGTCGGTCTTGCTAAGGAAACCGAAGGAATTTAGGAGATCCAGTAACAGAAGAAAATGTGTGGGAATAAAAGTCTTCCTGAACACTTAACAGAGCTTAGCTGCCTCTGTTTGTGGTGGTAGTTGTGTGTTTATCATGCTTCAGAGTACTGGGACTGAGAGGGCCTTTTCATGGACATCTAGCTCTGAGCTAAGAACTTGAAACAAGAAGAGGCAGCCACTGATGTCACAAATCCTCCTGTGTGCAAGGTCTCTAACCAGAGAGCCTGTTCTCAATCCTGTCATTTATAGCTGAGTCACCAAATGTTTCACTTAACTACTCTGCAAAAATGAGTTTTTCATAAATATGTGTAGCAGTTGCCTTACTGACCTCACAGGTGAATGATTAAGAGCAAGTAAGAGAAATGTGTGTAAAAGCACTATTTATTGCAGAAATAAAAGGTTTTCCAGAAAAAAAAAGAAAAGCAAAAGAAAAGAAAAACCACCCAGATGGCCCAGAGGTAGCGGTTACTGTGTTCAGGGGCTGTCCTGTTAGTGTTGTAAGAAGGAAAGGGAAATGGGTCATCAACTGTTGGGACTTTTGGGTGTTGTAAACAAAATGTAAAAGCAAAAACCTCACCAAATAAAAACAAAAGTACAATATTCAAAACCATCTGTATGACATAGAAACACCAAATCAGTGGTCCGTAGAAGATTCTTTGTGGAGAAAGGCATCCACGTTATTTTTATATTGTGCTGGCTGGCTACCTAATGGTTTCTAAACTGTTAAGTCTCATGCTTCAGTTAGACGAATGCTTAAGAACAATGAAGGATGTAGGATCAAATACTGTCTTAAACACACAGCTAGGCAAATCTTTGAGGCATGTTGAGAGGTGTTAATAGCAGGGTGAAGGATGGTGAGATCTGGTTACTGTGCTTTTGCCTAATAGCCCTGATTTGATCTCAGGATGATCAGGATTTTAAATACACTAAGGCTAGAGAAAAAGGTAGCAGGTGAGCTGTTACGTTAGAACACCATCTGAACAAAAAAAAAAAACTATCAACAAAAATATTGAATGTTCCCCTGACCCATATTTGAAGTTGGACTTTTCACTGCCTCTTGGTGGACTCAGAAAAAGTGAGAGACAAAATCTGCTGCCACAGTGGCCACTAGCCGGTTTCAGGTCTGCTCCGATGAAGCCTGTTCATCATGACCTGCGTTACCATACCCTGCCTCCAGCTCAGGAGTGCCCTCAGAGGGACCCTAGCTGTTTCTTCTCACTTTCTCAATACCCTGTCTGCATTCCACCTGCAGTTTCTAAGCAGCAGAGACTCTAACACCATCTGTGATTCCAAAGCTCACACTTGCCTTCAGTAATGCCAAAATACTTTTCTGCCTCCACTCTCACTAAGGAAAACAAAGTATCTGTGAGTTTAACCGCAGGGCACCTTGGCAATGAAGATTGACAGTTGTCAGTCAGTACTTACTTGGTTCAGTCAGTATTGTTCAGCTTTTCATCACGCAAGAATGAATCAAACTTTATGTGAACTTTCTCACTAAATCCTCATCATCATGTTTGTGATAAATACTACTTTTCCCAATTTTCATTTGCAGTATAAAAAGTTAACAGAAGTTGAATAGATAGCTTGCCCACAGCCAGAGTTGGTTAGTGGAGGAGCTAGCATTCAAGCCCAGGCCTGAATAGTCTGTGTCAGTGCTCTCAATTTCTACATTACACAGCGTACTTGGACAAATATATTCTCATGAAGGAAACAACAACCTTTCCTTAAAAGGTTTAAGAAATTAGCTGACTAAAGTAGATTATACAGCTTGTAACTCTCCTTTCTATTTTTCCAACACACAGAGATATATACCAGAGATGGGAACTCCTTTGGGAAACCGTGCGAATTTCCATTCCTGATTGATGGGAAATGGCATCATGACTGCATTCTTGATAAAAATAAGACTGCCCCATGGTGTGCCACCACCTTAAATTATGACCGTGATAAGAAGTGGGGCTTCTGCTTAAAACCAGGTATGTATGAGCTGTCAGACTATGTATAGAACAGAGAGCGGCCAAAGGGAGAAGGAAAGAATCCAGATCAATATTTTCCTACGTAAGAAGAGTAAATTTGGAGGAAAGGAGAGGAGGAGTAATGTGAATTTATATATTTGTCTTCAGAATCAGGTCAGGAAGAGGAGAAACAAGACCAATTATGTTGTGAAAGACCATAAAGTGTGCGCTGGGTAGCAGCCCAGATAGCCCAGGGAGAGATGTGAGCAGTTGGGAAATTGTGGCTGACCTGTGTAGCAGGGCAATTTCAGAAGACTAGTGTGGGTTGGAGCTGGGTTACAGTGAACTAAGGCTTGGACAGGGAAATGAGTCTTGTATAATTCGTGAAGAAGAATTAGGGTGATAGGTAGCATGATGAAATAGCATCTTCTAGAAAGGTGGTAAAGACTGTAAAAAGAGTGAAAGAGAAAGGAGAAAAAAATGCCCTGGCCTTCACAAAATGAAGAACATTGGTTCCTCTGCCATTCCTGCATGTTGCTCGGAGCACTTTTTCTAGTTGTTTCTTATTAGAATCACTCAGCTTTTGCTAAGAAGCTCTTTTTAATAAGAGGAGGGACCAAGGTGACTGTTGCATCATTACCTGGAATATAGCTGAGACAGTTTCTCACAAATTAGGTGACAGTTACAGAGGATCACAGTACCTGATAGGAGGTGGTGTTTAAGAAATATTATATGGGTAACAGGTTTCGAGACTGTAGCAGTGATGTAAAAAGGAGCTCCAAACCTATTTAATAATAGTTGATACTGAAATGGCCCTGCAAGGTGACAGATAGTTGTCTAGGCTTTCAATGTATACTAACTCATTCATATGTATGTAGTTCTATTACCTACCTCAAAGGAGGTAACAGGACTTACCTCCATTTTACCACTGAGCATAATTACTTAACTTGCCTACAGTTACACAAATAATGTCAGGATTTACAACTGTCAGGTGCCTTTCCTAAACAGTTACACTATTCTGTCTCGCTAAGCAGCTGGCCAGGTTGTATTCATAATGCAGATACCTCTGTAAGGGAAATTCTGCCTTTAAAATACACAGTTCCAAGCAACTTAAGGAGGAGATACCAGGCTTTCTCACTTCAGAAGTCAATACTCAGATGGTTTCTTAAAATGCACAGCCTGTCTCTACAAATTTTGAGTGAGTAGATATGAGGTGGGTAGGAATAGACAAGAATTTGTAGTTTCACAAGCTCAGGTAGTGCTGGTGATGCTGGTCTGGGGAATCTCACCTTGAGAAGTAGTTATCTAGGTAGAGATACAGACTTTTCAACACTTGGAACCTACTGAAATAGAAAAAGCCAGTATTTGTGTCAGCTTTAATTCATAATGAGCATCATTTGATCAACCAAGTACCAATTGCATGCAGCTCTCACTGTGGTTTGTATCGGGTATGAAAGGGAGCTTAGTAGTGCAAGTTGACAGAATGACCTGTCAAGGCCAGATGACATTTTTATGGAAATCTGATCAAAAACCCAAGTTATTGATCCTCAGTCCCCTGCATACGGACCTCACTCTATCTTGCTGCCTAACGTGGAATTAGCCGTTCTGATAGTTAGATAAGGAAGTTGTTAATGCATTCATATTCATCTTAGAGTTATGTTTTTATGGAGGAAGCAAGACTCTGGGTTGCTGAAACCTGACAACTGCTAACCCTGGAGGGTTGTGTTGCATAGCAATCACATTGCCATCCCACTGGAAGTTTCTGGATTTGCAAGTATAGTGGTTCAGTGGTAATGATAAACTTTTAGGAGATGCTTACAAATGCAATTTTTTTGTTTTCTCTACATGTCAGTCTCTGTTGTCATATGTGTCACAGAAAAGTAGCTGAAGCAGCAGCATGTACTGCTTCTGAAACTCGATTCAGGAGCACACAACCTGGCACAGAGATCAGTACTTTGCTTATGACAGTCACAAATACCTCTAGGTTTTTGTTTCATCTCTTCAAGCAGAGTACTAGACAAGATGATCTGTAAGGGGCTTTGCAGCATACAGGCCCATGAGTCTAGCATCTGATAAATAACTGGTCATGGGAGGTCATTTGGAAAACCCCTGAGGAGCCTACGAATCATAATTGACACAGACTGCACACTCATTAGGAGCATATGGGAAGCTCTAAATGTACTTTTGAACCAATTATCTCAAGACCTATGTAATCCAGGTTATACCTTGAAGGTTTTTAGGAATTATACATACTTTTATATATCTGTTAAAGTATATAGTGTGTGCATTAAAGTGCATGTTTTGATAGGCACATTTATGCATGCATGCATAAAATGCACTTGCAGTGTGAATTATATCTATATTATACATCACAAATCCAATCATCTGTTAAAATGTTAAACAGAAACCTGGACTTGGTTTTCCAAATAAGATAGTCCCTGGAGCTCTTTGTCTTGGCCATTGCAGCAGCGTGTCTTAACGCAGATGCACAGTCGTTTCTCTGCCAACCCTGAGCAACCTTCTGCAGTTGGCCATTGTGTCCAGGTGAGCTTATTCCTCACTGGCTCAGTGCCCAATGATCCATGTGTTTTGAGACTCCTACCTTCAGGCCAAGTGTAGTCAGGATCCTTGGAGAGAACATGGATTGTGGGACTAGCATTGTAACCTAACAGGCAGACTCTCTATCTACAACACTGGCATCACATATGGATCCTGCTTCAGGTCTGCTTCCAGTCTACCTCCCTGTAGATACGCTTTGAAAAGCAGCAAATGATAGCCTGTGTGTTTGGGTCCCTGCCCCCATGTGGCAGACCCAGATGAAGCTCCTGACTTCAGCCTGACCCCGTCCTGGCTATTAGAGCCATTGGGGTTGTACAGCAGTGGATATAAGATATCTCTCTGGAAGCCAGCACTGTAGCGTAGAGATTAATCCTTCACCTACAGTCCCATATGGCACCAGCTCAAGTTCTGACTGCTCCATTGTCAGTCCAGCTTCTTGCTTATGGCCTGGGAAAGCAACAGAGGATAGCTCAGGTCCTTGGGCCCCAGCAACCACATGGGAGACCCAGAAGAGGTTCCTGGATCTTTGATTCAGATCAGCTCAGCTCCGGCTGTTGCGGCCACTTGGGGAGTGAACCAGCAAATGGAAGATCTCTCTTTCTCCTTCTCTCTGTAAATCTGCCTTTCAAATAAAACTGAAATAAGTCTTTTTCAAAGAGATGTTTTTCTTTCTGACTTTATCTTTCAAGTAAATATGTTTTAAAAGAAAATATGATATTGTAATAATAGAGGATAAAAGAAAAGCAAAAGATAAAGAGAAGTGGAAGTTTGAACCAAACAAATTTCCTATGGATTCCGATTTCATCATGTAGCCAAAGGATGAAAATATGGGCTGAAGAAGCAAGGACAGCCTCCATTTTGGCCTATTCTAAGACTATACAAATTGAGTGACAGTACTTGTCAACATTCTACATGTCATAAACTCTTATGCCCGTGCTTTAAGATCTCTAACATACCTTTTTATCCACAGAAAATGGCTGTGAGGAGAATTGGGAGAAGAATGAGCAAACTGGAAGTTGCTACCAATTTAATAATCCGGCAACTCTTTCTTGGAAAGAAGCTTATATTTCTTGCCACAGTCAAGGAGCTGACTTATTGAGCATCAGCAATGTGACTGAGTTAACTTATCTTAAAGGTAGGTTTGGCTGCACATTGTCAGGGAAATTTCCAACTGTCAAGATGCTATGAAGGTGTGCTCCTGTTTCCATACCCAAGTGTGTTATTTTGTATATGTCATTTCTGGCTCTTCTTGGAACATCAGCACTGAAGCCCACAAGCATAAGAGTACTTGGTGTAATCCTATTCCATCCACTGAAAATGTGACTTGTAGTAGAGACTAAAAACAGATGGATGTTCAGAAAATGAGATAGGGTGGCCAAACTAAACTGTTAATCCTAATTATAAGTGAAAGAATTTGGAGGAAAAGTCAACACTATGTCCTTTGAACAGGGAAAAGTCTACAGTATGTCCTTTGAACAGGGAAAAGTAGAGATTTCAAAGATGCTACCTCAGTCAGATCTCCCCACATTAGGGGCTGGTGCCTTAGTCTAGTAGGCTAAGCCTTTTCATGCAGTGCCAGCATTCCATTTGGGGACCAGTTCATATTCCAGTGTCTCCACTTCTGATCCAGCTCCTTGCTTATGGCCTGGAAAAACAGTAGAGGTTGGCTCAAGTCCTTGTGACCCTATAACCCTGTGATAGACCTGGAGAAAGCTCCAACATTTCAAATTACGTTGGCTCTGGTCATTGTGGCCATGTGGGTAGTAAACCGATGAGTGGAAGATCTCTCTGTCCGTCCTTCTCCCTCTAACTCTACCTTCCAAATAAATTTTAAAAATAAATAAATCTTGGGCCTGGCGTGGTGGCGCAGTGGTTAAGGTCCTCGCCTTGCACGCCCCAGAATCCCATATGGGCGCCAGTTCTATCCCAGCAGCCCTGCTTCCATTCCAGCTCCCACCTGTGGCCCGGGAAAGCAGTCGAGGACAGCCCAGAGCTTTGGGGCCCTGCACCCACGTAGGAGACCCGGAAGAGGCTCCTGGCTTCGGATCAGCATAGTATCGTCCGTTGGCGCTCACTTAGGGAGTGAATCATCAGACGGAAGATCTTCCTCTCTGTCTCTCCTCTCTGTATATCCACCTTTCCAATAAAAAAAATAATAAAAATAAATCTTTAAAAAAAATAATAAATAAATCTTATAAACATACCAATAGACTTCAGTCCTCTAAAGCAAGGTAAGTTTTAAGAAATCCCAAAGTGGATCTAATAAGTGGGCTTATGGAATGAATGCCTGGGCTTTGTTTTGTTTGCAAGGCAGTAATTTTAAATATTTTGTGAAATTTTAAATCATATAGGCAAGAGAGGAAATACTCTTTAAAATATAATTTGTTCTTCACTGTAGTTGTAAGGCACTACCTGTTAGTTTCAGTAATAACTCCTATTATAATTTTGATCGATATTATATTGAATTACTATTTAATTAGCATCTAAAAGAGTATCAAAATATTAAAGGCAAATTTCTATCAAGCATCCTTTTACTGAAAACTACCATATGTAAATATTGGACCAGGACTGATGAGGCCAACAAGATAAAAAATCAGACACACATTTTGTGGCCAAAGCGTTTGATCTTGTTGGGGAAATAACAATTGAATATACTGTGGAATACAATTGAGAATTTTGTTTAAAAAAAGTTTGGTGTGATTAGAAAACCTTTTGCCATACATAAAAGCAGAAGGAGTCTTAAAACTAAGTCTCATGTAGTCTAAAAGAGCTTTGTTTTTCTTTTCTGTCAGCTCTGTATTTGTTTGGTTTCATTTTTGTTTTATTACTACAGGGACCTGTGGGTAGTAAATTGATGGCCATATACTCACTGCATTGTGTTTGGAAATCAGATTTCCCAAGGCTCTGCCCTTTCCAATTCATTCAAGACCTACAAAGGAGGATTCTACAATTCCCAGAGCAGAAGCATCACATTTCCATTCCTCCTCATTTGCCCATATGCTGAAAGATTACTCACCTTGACCAACCTTGACAGATCTCCCCAAGGCTGGAGCGAGTTTAGGTTAATGTCTCTGCTGTCAGTCAAATGCATGACTGTTATCAGACCCTGTGGCTTCTCATTATGGAAGACGAATAAAAGTATAGGGTCAGATAAGAACAAAGACATCCACGGCAGAGCAGTTAAACAACACCCCTCTCAGTGAACTCACCCTCTTGCTGGAGTTTTATGCTAGTAATCATCTGTTTCTGGATAGAAATGAGATGTAATAGGAAAAAAGCCTAGTTCCAGATTACGCATGCCATAGAAGAAATCTACCCTATAAGCAGGAACTGTATCCATTTCCCATTCACTTCCACCTAGCAAAGAAACACAGAGAACTCTCAGAGTTGCCAACACAGTCGCCATTTGGAAGTCTTATGGCCTCAATGAGTTCATTAATACAAATCACAAATAACACAGTAACTAAGCACATCACGAGGCTATCAGCTTGCAAGCTTCAGTTTGTTCCATGATGAGTGTGAGCTTGCCTCGCGCAGTACATGATAGGATTTTCAGAGGGAGCAGTTACTTCATACTGGAGGATATCTGGAAAGCCTTCATGGAAGGAACAATACCTGATTTGGGAAGGATAAGAAGAACTTTTCAATACTATCGCCAATGGAATGCAGGGAATTCTGAATATCACAGTATGGTTGAGTCTGGAGACCCAAAATATGTCACAGTTTCCAGGACTTCCTTAGGGATTCCGGAAAATCAATTAAGGAAAAAAATTATATTCAATTATATTGGCAGAGTCTTTGTGTATAAGTGTCAGCAGCCATGGTATATGTTTAGAAAGAGAGAGAAAAATGAATCCTAAGTTCCCTTCAGCTCTTTCCTCATAGCATCTACCCAAATACCCATCCTTTCCTTCTTAGTGGAGTACCCTCACCATCTAGGCCTTTGAGAAAAGTGACTGTAACCCTGGTTCCTGACCCCAACTTATAGGATCATCATATTCCAGGTTAGCACCTTCTCCAAGCTCTTTGTGTCCACAGTAGATGTTCTTCATCTTACAATTTCACCTACTTTTACTCTCCCCTCTACCTACTTTTCATTTCCTCCCCAACTGGCTATAAATTTGCCTAAACTTCTTCCATTAAAACATAGACTTGGGAATGGAGATTTGGCTCAGAACTTAAGATGCTATTTTGGATACCCATGTCCCATATTCAAATACCTGGTTCAAATTCCACCTCAGGTCTCAATTCCCACTTCCTGCTGATGTGCATGCTGGAAGGCAGCCATCACTGGAGTGAGTTCCAAGCCCAACCCCATTACAGACGTTTGGGGAGTAAACTATCAGGTGGAAGTTCACTTGCTTTTCCTTCCTCTCCTACTCTCCTTGCTCTCTCTCCCTCTCTTCCCCTCCCATTCCCTCTCTTTGCTTCTCTTTCCACTTCTCTCCCTCTCTTCCCCCTTCTCTCCTTCTCTCCAGCTCCAACTCATCTTTAAAAATGTGTTTATTTTTATTGGAAATGCAGATATATAGAGAGAAGGAGAGATAGAAAGATCTGTTTCCTCGTTCATTCCTTAAGTGGCTGCAACAGCCAGAGCTGAGCTGCCAAAGCCAGTAGCTTCTTCCGGGTCTCCAAGGCTTTTGGGCTATCCTTTACTCTTTCCCTGGCCACAAGCAAGGAGCTGGATGGGAAGTGGAGCTGCTAGGACATGAACTGGCACTCCTAGGGGACCCAAGCAGCTGCAAGGCAAGGATTTAGCCACTGAGCTATCGTGCCTGACCCATTTTCTGGAACCTGCAGCCCTACCGCTTTCTTTCACAGCCAAGTTCCTTTGTAATTCTCTCCTAACCTTACCTTTGCTGCCGAGTGGAACAGTAATTATACATCTGTCCCTATCCATCTGAGTTTGATTTAGCTAATTATATTTTTTGTAATTTTAAAAAAATATATGTGATTCTTACAGAAAAAGAAGACATTGCTAAATTTTTCTGGATTGGTTTAAACCAGCTGCACTCTGCTAGAGGCTGGGAATGGTCAGACCACAAACCGCTAAACTTCCTCAACTGGGACCCAGGTAACTGCTGCTTTTCCCACCTGTTTTACATAGAGCAAATACTACAAAAAAAATCTCTCACCACTAAGAACTTATAAAAGTTTCATTTTTTACCAACTCTTTTTTTTTGTTTTGTTTACATCTCAAAAGATTTTTTTTCACTAAATCATTCTTAATTTTGCTATGGTTATATCCCAACAAACATACAAAAGCAACTGATCCTTTGTCCCTGACCTTTAGAGCAACCCTGTGCTTTTAGGTAAGGGCAGAATGAACCATGCCACATGGCCAGGAGCCATTCTTTGTCCTTTGTAAGGCACTAGACATATCTATGATTTGCCCGTATTATTTCTTAGCAGTTTAACCCTATAGTCAAAATATTTTGCCATCCTCAAGCTCTTGGGTTTCCCCACTGGAGTATCCCTAAAATACTGAACACAAATAAATACCTAAATGCAAATTTTATAGTAAATAAAACAAATAAAAATCATGCTTAAATAAACAACTTTCTCAGTGAAAGAAGGAATTAACTACCTTTTGAAAAAATAAAACCGTAGGCTTCTGATAGATGAGATGCAGAACCTAAAAGTGAGGAGTTGATAAGCTAAGTACAATAAAATACCAGTTTGTTGTTCTCTAATTAATTACGTTTATTTATTGGTGAATTGATATTCTGTCATCTCAACCAATAAAATCTTTCAAGGTTATCCAATCTTTAAGTCCTTAAAGGCGTTTTAGAATCATAAAAAAAAATTTAATTATTGGCTAAAATAAAAAAATAAGGCCTACAAGGCTATGACATGGTAGTTGTTTGGGGACAGAGGCTTCAGTATTTTTGTTCAGATTCACCTTGATATGAATGTCTCATGGTGTTCCCCTTGCCCCATAGTCTAAATTTTTAGAAGAAAGACACAGTGAAGTGCATTGTTGTCCATTAAGACTTATACATTTAACTTAGGAAAAAGTTCATTCTGTGTGTTTCCTGGAAAGTAGAATTAGGAATCTGAATGATTTTTTCCGTACACTACCCTGGCCCTAACCTTGCTCTTCTAACTGGAAATCTTCCCTGTTAAGACAAGTTCAACACACCTGCACTAGGTGGGTCAAGCTGTGTGAGGATGAACGCTGAGTCCGGTCTCTGGGAGAGTTTGCCCTGTGAGGCTCTACTGCCCTACGTGTGCAAGAAACCATTGAATAACAGCACGGAGTTAACAGGTATCTTTCCTCAAACACATCAGTCTTAAAATCCCAGTTTTCTGAAGTCAAGTCAACCTGTTCCGAATATCTATTTCCATCTTTCCATCACCTGATACTGCCAAGTGCAGGAAAGTCTTAGATTATTCACCCGAGGGCTAGAGATTCTCAACTTTGCACAAATTAAACTTTGGCACGGACAATGAAGAATATCAGGTAAATATATGGATATGCCTTAAGAAGGCAAAATGTTCTAGATAAGAAACACATTTCTATTCACAGATAAGCTCTTTTTCCTCCATAGAAGTTGTTTTCAATGTGTCTGTAGAAATGCAGATTTTCAAGAAACGCTCAAATTTACTGGATCATAAACTCCAGGAATGGGCCCAGCCATCTGTGGTTTACGAAGCAGTCTGTGTTTTCTGATTCAAGTTCAAGTCTAACAGCCATTGTTGTAGGAGTGGGACTGTGGATGCTGATGTATCCCCAGGCTTTCCTTGACCCTTCTCCATCCTGCTTTGTCGTGCTGGTTCTTGGGTCTTTAAGTTGAGCAATTAGTTTGAAAAGAAGTGCAGAAAATCCTTGTATGTTTAAGGAGGGGCTTTTCCTGGGAGCTCGGACATGAGAGAAGCACAAGAACAGCTGACCTGTATGAGGAACAGAGCAACCTGAGGAGTTTTTGAAAGAATGGAGAGAAGCAGGACTCAGACTTCACGGAGGGGGGCCTGATGTACCCCTGGAATTCCAGGGGATCCCATGGAATGAGCACTGAGAAGGAAATAGATGATTTGAAAATGTTCTGCTCTAGGGAACTGTAAAAGAAGAGAGCAAAGCATTGAAATTTCTTACAATCCAAATAGGAGCATGGAACAATGTTTTATTTTACTAGTTATACAAAATAAAGAATATAGGAGGATTTAAGATAATGGAGGAAGGAAATACTTGTCTTCTGAGTTAATTCAAATCAAGTTTACTCCATAGAGCAAAAGCCATAGTAAAAAAGACTTCACAAATGAAAGTAAAGTAGCGTAATCTGATGACAGATTAAGTAAATATCTCACTGTAGTGATTATTAAATAAATCGTGATGCTTCCGCATGATTGAGTAATATGCATTTATTAAAAATAACTGTGCCAGCAGGAAAATACAAGAACAAAACAAAATGACATATCTACTTATTTGAAGCTTGAGAAAATGTACATTCTCAGAGATAAAGACTAGAATATGAAAATGATTGTTTTAAGTTCAATTATGTGTATTTTTCTCTCTGTTCCTCTGTCATGCTTGTAAAATACACTAATAATACAGAATGCTGTTTCAGAGGCTTAAAACTTAGTTATCTTGCATGTGTGAACCTGAACGTTATCCTTTAGTAAAAAACAAACTTCTCACGTTTTTAAGATTATTTATTTATTTTCATACAATGAACTGTCCAGATAGTTCTGAACTAATGAATAATTAAACACTTTCTGGTGTTGCTATAATGGCATAAGTGTTTTCTATGGTTTTATGCCTGATCCTTCTTCTGGACTGGAAGGATTAGACTTTGATTTGTGAGTTCAACATGGTCAGAATGAAGAATCACGAATCCTGTTACGTCTGTGGGTCTAGCAGGAGGATGAAAGGAAAATCCCAGATGCCTTTGGTCCCTCTCTTGGACATGATTGTATACATTGTTCTGTTCTTCATATCTCTGCCTATCGTGTGCTCCACAGTGGACACTAATGAGTATCTCTTTGCTAAGCTGATCATAGAACAGGACTCTTGGCTTCATTATAATCTTCTCAAAGGCAGCAACTGGAAGGGAACCTAGCAAATCACACACCCCAGGAAAAGGTTTGTTAGCAACTGGTTTACTCTACACCTTCCCATACTCTGCTAGGATCAGGGGCAAACTCTCCTATAATGGTGTCCCTGCCCAGCTGTGCAGCTCATTTGCATCATATTAAAGTCACAACAGAATCTGAAACCCTGCATGAATTTTTAGGATGCCATGTGTGCAGGAGGGACCACCTCGATTGATATCACTGTGGGAGGATAGCACTTCCCCCAGTTTTCCAAAAGTCGTATGACTTAAGAAAGAAAAAATTTGTAATGTTATTGACTCAAAATAGATATGTCTTTATTGGAATATGAATAGCTGGATTTGTTTTGTCAGATGATTGGACATATTCAGATACTCACTGCGATGCAGACTGGCTGCCAAACAATGGATTTTGCTACCGGCTGGGGAATGAAAGTGACTCCTGGGACAATGCACATATGAAATGCAAAGCCTTAAGTAGTGACCTTCTCAGCATTCATTCTTTAGCAGATGTGGAAGTGGTGATCACAAAACTCCACAATGAGGGTAAGTTTTAAAATGTGTACTATTTGCAAGGTTTAAGTCATTTAAAAATGTTCCCATTCTCAGACCATGCTTGGCAATAAGAAGCTTCTCATTTGGTCCTATAGATCAGCAATATCCATGTTCTGTGGTGCTGCCTGTTTAGTAATTTGCACTGCCGAATACAGCAACCACCAGCTGCACATGCACTTGAAATGTGGTTAGGGCAACTGGAGCACTGTATTATTGTTTTTATTTCGTTTTAATTAAAACTCATATTTGAGTTTAAGTAGTCATGCCTATGCAGTGGCTATTCACATTGTTCTCTACCTCCTTCCTTACATAAGTTCACTTCTATTTAAGTTGCTCCAAAACCTTGAGTGATGATCACTTTACCTTTCTGATTATTTAGAAGCTGAAGACTGGTAAACAAAAATATACTGGACTGCCAATATTAGGACCTCTTACTTGATGGTTAATAGTAGGTACCTGTTCTGTCCTGGCATGATGCTAAAGTTTCATTTGTGAAGGCAGCAGAACCATACGGAGCAGCGGAGTGCAGTATTGATGGAATTTCCCTAATCCCCTTAACATCAAGTTAGTTTAAACCCATGTCAAGGACACCTAGTCCACAAATCATAGTAAAACGAATATGGCTGTGTAGCGTGTATACACAGGTGTGTTGAAACGCCTTCACCCTTCTTGCCTTGGCCACATTTTCATAGATGCACTCACAGTGCCTTAAGGACCTTTAAAACTATGCATAATGATGTATATATCAAGTATGCCACTAAATAAAACTAAACAAAGGGGTCATTCTTCATTCAGATGCCAAAGAAGAAATATGGACAGGCCTGAAGAACATAAACGTGCCAACTTTGTTTCAGTGGTCAGATGGTAGTGAAGTTACTCTAACATATTGGGATGAGAACGAGCCGAATATCCCCTACAACAACACTCCCAACTGTGTTTCCTATTCAGGAAAGGTAGGAAACCTCTCAGGTTTATTTCTGTTTTTGTTGTTTTACCTGACCGTACTACTTTAGGATGTTTATGTTGGAACATGGAAAGGAAAAAAAATGTCAGAACTCTGTATAATGCCTGAAAAAAAATGAGTTAGAGCAATTGCTAAATAAGTTATCCAATGCCTGAGAACTCCTTTAGAACTCCAATCTGTGGACCAAGCTGGTCCTGATAACCTGATTTTCACAGGACTGGGGTCTCATTCCCTTCCCTTCCATTAGTGCGATAGTTGCATGTAGTCACAAGCTAATCTAGAAGAAATGCCATTTTACAGGGCCAACTTTGTGGCACAGCTAGTTGAACCACCTAGCCGGTGGTTACTTCTCATGTAGCTCCGTGATACTGTGCCTAGAAAAGCAGCTGGCTTCCTGGTCCCTGGCTTTGGTCTAGCTCCAGCCTTTGCAACCATTTGAGGAGTGATCCAACTGATACAAGTGCTCTCTCCACTTCTCTCTTTCTCTTCTCATAACTCTGCTCTTCAAATAAATATATTTTTAAAAATTTATATCATTTTGTGTGTTTATGGGTTTTTTAAGATTTATTTATTTTTATTGGAAAAGAAGATTTACAGAGAGGAAGAGAGACAAAGATCTTTTGTCTGCTGGTTCACTCCCAAGTGACCACAACAAGCGGAGCTGCTCTGATCTGAAACCAGGAGCCAGGAGCCTCCTCCGGGTCTCCCATGTGGGTGCAGGGTCCCAAGGCTCTGGACCATCCTCTATTGCTTTTCCAGACCACAGCAGGGAAGCAAAAGTGGAGCAGCTGGAATGTAAACCGATGCCTAGCACATGCAAGACTAGGACTTTAGTCACTGGGCTACCATACCAGGCCCCATGTATCTATGTTTAGCTCAACTTATATTAATCCTACTTTGAGATGTGGGGAAAAAATTTGTTTAAAAATTATATCTGAATTTGTTTAAAATGCCTTAACATGTATTGAATGTATTGTAGTTAAAGCTAAAAATAGGCTGCATTTGTTGTAACGCTCTCTTGTGCACACTTGACTCTGATTGGTTGTGTGGGTGATTGTCACCCAGCCATCTATAAGTCAGAGCAATACACACATATGGTTTTAGAACAATTTCCATGATAAAGATGTATTGAGGAAGGCATCACATTGTGCACTCTATCTAAAAGGACATGCAAAAGGTATTTTTAAGAGAGTATCAGAATGGAAATGAGATGCCATGGACAAGAATAAGCTGATGGCATACCCAGACGACAGGCCCCTGCTCCGAACTGACCCTGTCAGAACCAATTTATTAAAACTTAACTAGAAGAAAGCGTCATGATTTAGTCAATTAAGCAGACTTAATGTGAAGGAGCATATTTGAGAGAGCTTTCGAATCTTGCTGAAGCCACAGTCCAGACTTCATGGAGCACAGTTCTACTGTCATAGGAGGAAAGCCGAGTAGAGCCGAGGACAGTTGACATGCAGAAGTTCATAACCTGTGAACAGATTGGTCAGGTTATATGAAGAAGAGTGGAATCTGGCTGAGTTCCTCCTTCAGCTTCTTTACTGGTTGTCCTACGTTAGTATCATTGTTTCTTGTACAAGAAAATGAGCTCCATGCACTACGTGACCTTGGGTGATGCTGAGATGGCAAGCTGTGAACCACGGCCTTGCAGGTGTTTCCTCATGCAATCATTCACTGTCTTCTCTTCCTCTCCTTTTCTCTCTTCCCTCCCCATGAGCTGTCTTCCAGCATCCCCATAGCTCTCATAGTTTTTTAGAATTAAGATATATAAATATCTATCAAATGATTTCTTTTGTGAACAAACGTGTTTGCCTTGTTTTTAAAAAGCTAGGTCAATGGAAAGTCCAGCCATGTGAAAAGAAACTGAAATATGCATGCAAGAAAAAGGGAGAAAAAATAAATGATCCAGGATCTGGCAAGATATGTCCTCCAGAAGAGGTGTGTAAACTCCCTGTGTAAAATTTTCCTGAGCCACATTATGCCTTCTTGTTAGTCATGGTAGTTGAGGGTTACATAAACTAGACTTCTGAAACAAAAGAGATCACTACTTTTTGTTCACTTGCATAATAGCAAGCCGAAGTCAGTCGGTCATTAAGTACTGGCTCACTTGCAAAAGAAAGGTGTCTGTGTTGCATGAATTCTTACACAAATGAAGACGACTGCTATCTGTAATACCGATGTCTTTACTTCTCCTACTATTGCTGTGCAAAAAGTAATTTAGCTAACATACTTTTTTGATAAGCCAGACCTTAAGGGTAAAGAGGATTAAATTGTCTTTAATTCATCCTGTGGTGAGGGTAAGAGGTGAGGTTATTTATTAAATGGCATCCCCACCCTCACCAGGTGTATGAATTCACTGCTCACAGTCTCAGTTTCCAAAAGCTATAAGGTGTTATAGTGGAACAGGGCCTTGCTTCGCAGGGAGGAACATGACCATGTCTGGAAAGCTTCATGACAATATCTCTTCTCTGATTCAGGGCTGGAAGAGACATGGAGAAGCCTGTTACAAGATTTACAAAGATGAAGTCCCCTTTGGCAAGAACTGTAATCTGACCATCACTAGCAGGTGTGACTATCTCTAAATGATTAACTCTTAGCTCTTTTGCTATACTATGTTCCTCAGGGGGAAAAAAATGTGTATTTTAAAATTAGAAACATCATAAAACTTGTGAATTTGATTCTTTTGCAGATTTGAGCAAGAATTCCTAAATGATATGATGAAGAAATATGATAAATCTCTAACAAAATACTTCTGGACTGGCCTGATAGATGTAGATTCACACGGAGAGTATAGTTGGGCAGCTGCTGGAGGAATAAAGCGGGCTGTAACGTTTGACAACTGGAATTTTATGGAGCCAGGTGAGAGTTCTTGGCCTTTAGTGTATGCAGCCAACTAGAGTGGCTAGTGAATTGTGTATCCCCTTTATACACGCTCTTTACCTTTGAAATATGTGGGGAATCATCTTCAGGCATCCCTCTGTGGAATCAGAGGTAGTGTCTGCCCTGTTCAATCCTTGGAAATAATCCTGTGGAAGAAGTGGCGAAACTCCAGTTTCCTCAAACTGCCATCTGACAACACAGAGTTAGAATCACCAGTGTGAGCTTCTTGTTTTTGAAATGTGTGCTACAAACAGAATCCAGCAGCTTCTTTCTAGTTGCATTCCACATTTTTAACTTGCGACTCTTTTGCTGCCATTAACGATTTCTTTTGTTCTGAATGGTTAATTATCAGTATATTATAGCTGGCATTTATTCTGAGAGTTTGTTCCTCTTCAACCTTCCTAAAGCATCAGGGTGATTTCCTGTAGAATCCAAGTATTTTAACCAGAAAGGACATAAAAAAGGTCCTAATTTTTGAATTGAGAAAATAGGCTCCGAGATGTGATTTGCTTAATCAAAGTAATCCAGTTACTGAACTAGTAAGATCAAGCCTTCCTGATTTCCAGGCCAGTAGTTACAAAAAGAAAGAAAAGAGAGAAAAAAGAGAAAAGAAAGCAAAGCTTTTGTTGTTGTTGTTTTCCTTCATACAGTTTTGTAGGTATAGGGCTTCCTCCATCCCTCCCTTAACTTCCTCTCCCTCCTCACCCACATCCATTTCCCCCTATGTTTTGCAATAGTATAGTCCTACAGCTGCAGTCGCGGTTCCAACATTCTGGTACTCACGTGTGGTCCTGATGTTGCAGGTCTAGGCAATGAGAGAAAATCTAGTATTTTGTTGTCGAGGTCTATTTAATGGCTCCGTTGGGAGTCCTTTTATTCAGGAGAAGAGATGATACTGCCGTGCTTCCTTGTTTCTAGGTACTCTCATCTCCACTGCACCGTTTGAATGTACACGTCCATAGTTGTTACCCTGTGTATCTTTTTATTTTGCATGAAGGTTGGCTTATATCAGAGAAAACATATGGTATTTGTTCTTTTGAGACTCCAAGCAGGCACTTTTTTGAGGACTTTGGCTTGGAATAAGATAAGATATCTCAGTTTTCTCTGTTTATGTTTTTTGTGTATTTGTCTATTGTGATCATAAAAGTCATTTTCATAACACAAAAACTAAAGTATTCAGTTCATAAATGAATACATTTTTTGAAATAATGAATGCACACAGAATTGATGACACATGGTCCTGATCATCCAACATGAGTGGTATCGATAATAACAGTCATCTTTCTACTTACAAAAGATAGAGGACAAAGATGTTAATCTTGGCTCGCTCTTATTTTTAATTAAAAATACTGTCATAGATAAATCCTATAGATTTCTCTAGTAGACACTCAGATAACTTAGCGTTTTTCATGGATAAACCTCTGTGATTGGAGGGGTGCCTATGAAGCAGTTACCATGGTTACTGCCTCTCCTTTTGGTCAGGGAATCTGCCATTAAGCTCTCTTTACCATTATTATTCCCAATGTCAGCCAACTTGGTCCATCATGGGCAAGCAAGCCCAATAGCAGCATAGAACAAGGAAGGGGAGGAATGGCATAGCATAGTATGGCCCTTATTTTCCCTGATTCCTGTTCTTCTTGCTATCTACAAATAAGACATGTGGCCTCACCATTTGGTAGAATAGAAGTTCATCTCAGGGCCAGTACTATGGCATAGTGCATTAAGCCACTGTCTGCAGTGCTGGTATCCCAAATGGACTCTAGTTCAAATCCTAGCTGCTCCACTTCCAATCCAGCTCCCAGCTAATGCACCTGGAAAAGCAGTGGAAGATGGCCTAAGTGCTTGCACCTCTGAGTCAATGTAAGAGACCCAGATGAAGCTCTTGGCTCCTGGCTTCAGCTTGTGCCCAGTCCTAGCTATTAGGGCCACTTGAAGAATGAACTAGCAAATGAAAGATCTGGCTGCTTCCTTCCTTCCTATTCTTCTCTCCCTTTTTTTAACTTGGGCTTTCAAGTAATTAAAATAATTTTTTTTAATTAGTTGTTCTCATACTTTTCACTATATGACTCTTGCCTCCCTCCCACTTCAGGCAGTATGGCATATTGGAAAAGAGAACATGATTTTTACCAAACAAAACCTAGTTGAAATTTCAATTCCATCACTCCCTAACTAAGAGTCTTCATTAGGGAAATGATTTGGATGGTACAAACTACTATTTAAGGTTATAATGAACAGATGACACTATGAATGTCATAAAATAAATAGTAAACATCTGTTACCTGATACCCCCTCTACCTTTATGGTTCTGACTGTCACTGTGGGCTTGAATCTGAGAGTTTCATTTTGAGGTTGACTTGTAACAACTTTTTGAAGTTGTTAAGCTGATGTAAGTCCCTACATTGAGTAGCACAATGGCTCAGGTGTACAGGAGGCAGACCACATGGGTCCATGATTCTGAGTCAAGCACTTCACTATTCCGGTGACCTAGGACCAGTAACTGGGTGCTAATTGTACTTCTATTGTGACAGTAGAATCCACCCTTTATTGTTCTTATGAGGGTTATTTAATTGAATTCTTTTTTTTTTAATTTTTTAAAAATTTTGACTATCTTTACATAGTTAATTTGGATAAAAAGGTTCAAGGGCTACAGGAATGTGGGTAAGAGTATTATTTCCATATTGCTTCCTTCATGTATCTGAGGTAAAGGGGGATATTGAGGGAGAAGCCCCAACCGGTTTCCCACCCACCCCAAGTCCCGCATGTGGGGCATGCTCTGAGATACTCACTCAAGTGGTTTTGATGGTTCACCAGTTGTGAATCGCTGCTAATCTCGCCTCTCCAAACACTATGAGGTCGTTGAAAAATCCACTGATTGACATTGTCCATCCTAGTGTCTCTGTTTGCCCAGTATTTTGTTGCCAACCTGTAGCTGAGGTGGTTGATTAACTTGTTCCATCTTCTGTCCTCTAATGGTTAGGGTTCTGAGTCCGGTATTTCAGTTGGGGAGATCCCCAAAGAAACTTTGTCTGAGCTGTTCCCAAGCCAGATTCTTGTATGCACCAGCAAATACAGGGCCCAGGATAGTCCATCACTCCGATCAGCTGGTGGTTGCAATTGCTGGGTTGGTTCTGTTTTCAGCCCTGCCTTCCACTGGAACCAATGGGTGTTGCAGTCCAGACTGGTTCTGCATGGCGCATACTCAGCCCTCATCTAAATCAGTGAGAGCTGCAGCCTGGTGAGAGCGACCCACAATAACCCCCACCAGGCCCACCCCCACCCTGGTTTGCCAGTCTGTGTAGCAAACCAGTCCAGTTTGTTCCACATCCCCCTTGGCTCTCGTACATGGCAATTGGCAGTGAAGCTTAGATTCATCTAACCAGCCCAACAATCAAGCCCTCACGGGTGTTGTTGAGTGCCTCTCTGTGTAGCCACCCTAGTCCCTGTTCTAGTTTTCGTGCCCTCCTGTGGGAGTGGTACCCAAGATGGGGGGAGCCCACTATTTCCCTCCCAGGTCTCTCACTCCCGGATTGTGCACTTTCCAGGTGGTTCTGCAGTTTAACTTGACAGAATTAGTCCCAGTGCCAGTTTCTGCCAGCTGATGCTGCAGTTATGCCCAAACAACCCTCGCCCACTCTAATTGTAGATTGCTCCAGTAGGAATAATCAGCCCAGCCTGGCTTTTCCCTGATCTAGTCCACATGAGGCACACAGGTATTGTAGCCCTGCTTAGTCTGGTCTGCCCCCATCCCACCTCAGGCTCTCCAGTGGGAGTAGCTGTCCAGCAGGGCAGCCACCCCTTATTCCCCTGCTGGCTCTGCCCCCTCCTTTCCTGGTTCTCATGTGTGCTGGATGGGCACTGCAGTCATATCCGGTACAGACAACCTCATCCTGGCATTCTGTATTGTGGACTGGTTTTTATCGTGACCAAACCTGGCTCGACCCACACTCTGTTCTGGTGCTCGGATTTGCCAGTGATCAAGTGAACTGATTCAGCCTGGTCTGCCCCCAATCCATTCCTAATATATGCCAGTGGGAAACTTCTTGTGGCCTGTTCTGGGCTGTTTCCTTTCATGCTTCTTGCACTTACCAGCAGGGTCTGTGTCCTGCCAGAGGAGTTGCCCAGGCTCCTCCATCAGAACCTCTCCCAATGTCAGATTTTGCGCATACCAGTGGGTCCATGAGCCAGCCCTACTCAGTTCATCTCCTGTCCTAGCAGGAACAGTGGCTTTTCCTGGCTGGCCTTTGACCCAAGCTGGTTCTTGTTGTTGGATGTTTCAGCCCAGCCACGGCTCGTCCATACCCACACACGGCTCACACATGGCTCAGTAGTGGTTGAGACCTAGCCTAGTCTGTCCCACATCTATCCTGGTCCTCCAGGAACACCAGACAGTGCTGGGGTCTGGCCCAACCTGCTGCGTCCAGTCCCAGTCCACACTTGTGCCAAGGGAGATTTCAACTGTTACCTGATCAGAATACAGCCCCCATTCCAGCCCATGCGCTCCTTGGCGGTAGCCTTAATCCAGTTAGTGTGTCCCCTTAGCTCCCCAACCAGGCCTGTTCCCAACCATGGATCACGCACATGCCAGTGGTTGCTCTGACTCAGGCCCTCACTTGTACCTGCCTCTGCCTTGGACACTGTGGCTTAGCGTCCCTGACTTACACAGACCAGTAAGTATAAGAGCCTAGCTCGGCATGACCTGTGCTCCATCCTGGTTTCCAGTTTCACCAGTGGGCTAAGGCTTGCTCAGTCCTGCCCAGTACACCCCATTCCATTACGAACCCATACGTTAGCCAGCCATTGGAGCTCCCTTGCCCAGCTTGTCCGACCCCCAGGTCTAGACCACATGTTCACCCGCGGGAGTTATGACCCGCCAGGGAAGTTTCCTAAGTTCCTGCACTTGATCCACTCCCGGACCCAGTTCTCATACATGCCAATGGGTTTTAGGCCAGTGCCCGGCGTAGTCTGGCCTTCCATTTAACCTTGTATGAGCTGGTGAACGTTGCAGCCCAGCCCACCCCACACCCTATTTGGGATGCACATTCAGGTACTGCTGCCTTAACCAGTCCAGACTGCTGTGGGTTCCTTTACCTGTGATTGATGACATGCTCCTTATTCACCCCGAGCTTATTCCATCACCTCTATAACTCTTGAGCTAACCAGTGGGGCTAGAATTTCCACAGGGCTTGGCCCACACAGCCCCCACAGAATCTACCCCTGGATATGGCTCTCAAGTGCTAGTTAATGTCATGGCCCTGCCTACTGTGACTCATCTCCTGATCCATCATCATGTCAGGTAGCAGAATATAATTCTACTGGACAAGCCCTGTGCCATAGCTTTAGCATGGACTGGTATTTGGTGGTCAGCACTGCTAAGTGATAACACGTTCTTCAAAGGAAGAGTAACTGTCATTGGGAATCTTTAAGATATATTCACCTCACAGAAACACATTGGGTTCAACGTGGAGCTACATAAGCAGCAATTCAAACCACCAAAATCCCAGAGCTCCCCTGCCGGGCGGCCAGCAAGCAAAGCCTAGTGCCAAATGGCGCACTGGCCGTCCAGGCCCAGCTCACCACGTGCACATGATGGCTGGCTTGTGGGATCCAGGCATGAGACACCCTGTCCCAGGACCCACCCGCAGCCGAGAGACCGCAGGAAGTTTAAACTCCCAGGCCCAAAGTCACGCCCCACCCCAGTCCCCATCCGCCGCCCAATGAGAGCGGTGGGTGGGCCTGCCTAGCCCTGCTCCGAAAACCTCCCCCCTTGGTCAGTATACTCACCCCAAAGGAAGCAGCCCTGGAGCCCAGGCAGGCCCAGGCCCAGCTCACCACATGCACATGATGGCGGGCTTGTGGAATCCAGGCTTGAGACACCCTGTCCCAGGACCCACCTAATTGAATTCTTTTAGAATAGTCTGACAAGTTGCATGCACTTTCCTGTGTTATCCCCTACCTTATCAGCATCATTATTCTGAACACTTATTTTCTCTCTTTCCTCCACTTTGTTGCCTATTCTCTTTCCCTATTGTGGCTCAAATAAAGAACACTGGAAGCATGATTGAACTTTAGATATTTATTTTTTCATGAAAATTTCCCATTTGAACCCAGCTTTTCCAGGTGGATGTGTGGCAATGTCTACTGGAAAGTCTCTTGGGAAGTGGGAGGTGAAGGACTGCAAAAACTTCAGAGCGCTTTCAATTTGCAAGAATGTCAGTGGACCTGTGGAACCCGAGGAGCCAGCTCCCAAGCCAAGCGACCCCTGTCCTGATGGCTGGCATAGCTTCGCCAACAGTCTTTCCTGCTATAAGGTAAAGTAACATTCTCATTCAGTATTTCAACAAGATTATCTTTCTACTATCTTAAATTATGTCCTTATACAAGTATGACCTAAGATTGTGGATATGTTTCCCCTCATACACAAATATGACCTAAGATGTTGGAGCCAGGGGACATGTCCCTTAATGGGACATGAACCTCTGCTGTCAGGTGGCTCGTTCCTACTCTCTGCACATATCCTCCCTGAAACGGCTGAACAAGGCCAGAATAGAGTTGTTTTTCTTCTGGGAAGTTGGTTAAATCCCATGCCGTGATAGAACTAGGCTTGCAATTCTCATATACTTCTAATGCTTGTTGTCAGATTAAGAATTCCCCTGTTTCTAAAGAGATTTGAAGCATTTATCTCATCTGTTTTCCTCCATTCCTCAAACCTCCTCACACTAATTGGTAGTTCACAAGGGCATGCATCCTTCTCCACTATGTAAAACAAAATCATCAAAAATAAAATGAATATTTTATTTGAAAAAACTTTCCCAGTTTCTTATGAAGTTTATTTTCAGGTCTGTGTCCATCAACTAGTCTCACTGTTAGAGACCACTCCAAAATTTAGTGGCAATGACAATAAATTGTCTGATGTTCACAGATATACAGGTCACTAGGGTTGCATTCATTTAGTTTCGGCCTCAAATGTCATCCACCTTGGGCTCCGGGCTGTGACAGTAGATCTGTTGCCATTCAATCAAGGGCTCAGACTGAGGGATCAGCCACTATTAGAGGCTTATTTTTCTGATGGTAAATCACTGAGGCCCAAGAAGGCAAATCTGACTACTTAAGCATGTTTTAATCTGATTGCTTTACCCCCTCCCCCATTGGGCTGATGATCACATTAAGTCAATGGGCAAGCCCTACAGAGAAGTACAGAAATGTACACCCCTCCCCCAGGAGGCCCTAATAGGAACTTGTGTTGATGTTGCAGGAACTGAAGGATTGGGAACAGTAATTGAGCCCACCATTATGCCATCTTCTCGTCCCATACCTTCCCTTTCTTCAGTATGGTTCCTTTGGCTTGGAATTAATCATCACAATCTAAAGAAACAGTCTAAACTAATGGATTTTGTTTTGCTACCTTCTTACACCACTGCAAGCTGCCCCTTCTTTTGCTCAGAAAATAGTTCTATTCATATGTAGGTCTCAGTGGTTTCTACCCAAAATCATGTTGCTAGAACATTATTGGGCAAAAACTATTCCCAAAATATTCTCAGGCATCCTTGAATCTCTCCTGTTGGCTCAGTGTGTCTTCCAAGTCCTAGGAACACAGGAAAACTCAGTTTCTTGTTGGAGTAGCTTCCAGCCTGGCTGAACAAGATCATCTATACGACAACAATGGCTAGAACCATGCCAGCCTTCAGCTGATATTTTCAGCAGGAATTATCTGTGTCTAAGTGTAAACGTGTTCTTATTATACCCATAAGAATGCAGTTCATGGGGGCAGACATTCGACTGTGATTGACTTTGAACCTATGGATACTTTATGATGGCACCAGAAAATAAAATACCATTCAATTGTCTTAAGGCATTCCATATAGAAAGAATTGTGAGAAAGAGGAACTGGGAAGAAGCTGAAAGATTCTGCCAATCCCTGGGAGCCCACCTGGTTAGCTTCGGTCACGTGGATGAGATGAAGGAGTTTCTTCACTGGTTAACGGAGCAGTTCAGGTAATGCTTGTGGAGTGAGAGCTTCTGTGCTGCATGTCATGTCCTCTAGGTGTTTCACATGCACATTTTGTTATTATCTACAAGGGCACTCAGTACTTAGCAATCATGTAACCTCACACACACTCTCACGTACAAGACACTGTGAAGGGTTCAAAAGAGAATGAGACATTATCCCTACCCTTTATGTAATAAAGACCGATGGTGGGGATAAGAAAAGTAGGGCACAAAATCAAGAATCTAGTTAAGGAATGGCCTTTGGAAGGGCCTTTAGAATTCAGAAAAGAGATGAAGTATTACTGGGAGGTATAATCAGGGAGACTTGAGGAAGGCAGATTCTTGAAAGCTGTATTTTGAAAGATACGGTAGGAAAAGCACCAGGAAGAAAAGTGTAATTAGTTAAGGTTCTGAGACCAGACTGTTCATAGATGGTGAAGCAGAAATGAGTCATACAGCTTAGCTGGAAATGGAATTGAGATCTGCAATTGGAATGTCCTTGTTTGTCAGGGAAGGAGCTTGATCACAAGTCAGGAAGCTAATTTGTCTGTGGAGAACATGTTCCAAAACCCCCTAGTGGACATCTCTGAAACTCTGGTAGTGCTTAACCCTATACATACTACGTCTTCTTGGATACATATACCTACAATAAAGTTTAATTTTTAAATGAGACACAGTCATATAGTCACAAGAATAACTAATAATAAAATTGAACCACTGGAATCAGGTACTACAAATACTGTAGTAAAGGGAACATAAATGTGTGCTCTTCATCTTATTATCCTGACTCTTGTGATAATGTGAGATGATTGATTCTGCACCTGCATGATGAAATGAAGTAAAGTGCTGTTGTAGCTACTGTGATATAGCTGTGGGTGCCTGTTGACTTTTTCATACTCTGTCAGACAGAGCCAGGAGTTGTGAGTAAAGTTCAGTTCTCTCTCTTGGGTGACCAATTACTTAAGGAACCCAATTACTGAAGCCATCATTGCTGCCTGCCTGGAACTGCATTAATGGGAAGCTCAAGTTAGGAGCTAGATCAAAGATCTGAACCCAGGCATTCCAGCCTGAGACACAGGCATCTTAATGGTTAGCCTAAACAGCTGCTGCTTTGGTATAGAGTAATTTAAAAGGGTATTCAAATGCTGAATATTAAAAAAGAGTTGGAGAAAATCCATGTAGAAGTTTATAAAACAATGAAATAGCAAAGGATCACTTTCAGCATAAATTGGCAGAAGGTACATCTTATTCATTATCAGATTTGATTAAGTCCAAGTCTGCAAATTTATTCAGTATGAGATTCAATTGTATGCTATCAGAAAAGACTTGTAAATCTTGCCAGTTCGCACCTGTCCAACCCAAAGATCATGATTTTTCCCCCTGTGATCTAGGAACCAAAAGCATTATAAAGCTTAAATCTTTCTGCAAAAATTCATCTCTACAAATTAAACAACTGGCAACATTTTCTTGTTGCAGCAAATCAAGTTAGCTCTGAATGGTTGGTGGTACATTGAGATAGAAAAGTACTTCCCGGATTGTCAGGGTCACTATTCACTATTTCTTGACCCGCTTTGCTTGCTCACACCATGTGCTTATCCCCTGTTACTTAAATAGAATTGTCATGTGATCATGTTAATGGGAGCTGAAAATGCAAATGGCAAAATTCATTATTCATTTCTTTTTATTAAGATTTATTTTTATTGGAAAGGTAGATCAGAATTACAAAGAGAAGGAGAGACAGACAGAAAGATCATCCATCTGTTGGTTCACATCCCATTGGCCACAATGACCAGAGCTGAGCCAGTCTGAAACCAAGAGCCAGGAGCTTCTTCGGGATCTCCCATGTGGCTTTGGGCTGTCCTCCACTGCTTTCCCAGGCCACAAGCAGGGAGCTGGATAAAAAGAAGAGCAGCTGGGACATGCACTAGTGACCATATAGTATCTCAGTGCTTGCAAGGCAAGGATTTAGCCATTGAGTTGTCATACCAGGCCCTGTCATATTATATAAAAATATAGTTAACATTTAGTGAATACATTTAATATATAAATTTTTATAGTAAGAATAAAAATTAACTTGAACAGTACATATGTAACAGTTAATGAGGAAACATTAAAAGTACTTTCATGAAACAAATGTGAAGAGCCAGTTGTCATCACTATTGTTGAATTTATTTGGAATTCACCACTGGCATTAAAATTAAAAATTATAAAGTATGTTTATAATATATTAACTTGAGGTAAAGGCAGATTATAAATGAGTAAAAAACATACTATTTAAATTAAGCATTAGACTGAAAGATGCATCAAAATAGGTGGTAATTTTTACCTTTGGGAGGTAAGAACTGAAGTGATTAAGTTTTTTAATTTTCCTGTTTTCCAGATTTATTTTAATATAGTCATTACTGTATTATTCTCATTAGAGAAAGTGATTTCAGTATAGCAATCTCTCAAACTGATAAAAAAAAAATATGTGTGTTCCCTAATGGATTTATTAAACAACTGTCAAAGAACTTCGGGTATTTTATACTTCATTGTTTAGCATTAGGAAGTAATGTACAAAATTATATGGCAGATTGACACAAGTTAACAGGGGGAACCTCCTAAATTCTTTTGAGATGAGGGTTAGCTACTGTCTCACAACCTTGAGAGCATATTACAATGCATTCAAAAGGAAACCCAGATCCTTTCATGTATTACACAGCTATCAATGAAGGTACAAAACATTTAGGACAAGCTGTTTCAGAAGAGGGACAGCAACCCAGCAGCCTGTCCTTTACGTTTTCTAACTACCATCTTGCATTGAAGGTTCACTGCTCCAGGCACAATTCTGTTAATGTTATATTTGTCATCAGTCCATTGCAATCACCTGATCCAGTGGCTGGAGGTGGCGCCAGTTAGGAGAGGATTCCTAGATGACATTTTGTAAGATACAGCTTGGGCCCGGCGCGGTGGTGCAAGTGGTTAAAGGTTCTCGCCTTGCACCCCCGGGATCCCATATGGGCGCCGGTTCTAATCCCGGCAGCCCCGCTTCCCTTCCAGCTCCCTGCCTGTGGCCCGGGAAGGCAGTCGAGGACGGCCCAAAGCTTTGGGACCCTGCACCCGCGTGGGAGACCCGGAAGAGGCTCCTGGCTTCGGATTGGCATAGTATCGGCCCGTTGCGCTCACTTGGGGAGTGAATCATCGGACGGAAGATCTTCCTCTCTGTCTCTCCTCTCTGTATATCCGCCTTTCCAATGAAAAAATAATAAAAATAAATCTTAAAAAAAAAAAAAAAATGTAAGATACAGCTTGCTAAAACTCAAAAGCTTTTGATTCGCTCTGTCCCTGCAGCTAACACACTGCCACATCCAGCCGACTATGTTGCCTGTTTTATAAGTGTTCTGTGGGGAAAAAAAAAAAGATTATTTGCCTCTGCTGTACTAAGAGAACATATCCTAAAATCAAAATTGTAGCCATAGCTTAAAGGAAGGAAGCAAGCAAACCCATTTGTATTAGAAAAATGACTCTAAAGCTTATTCCTTGAACTTTTTATTTCAAAAGTTGACATTCCCGAGCAAGATATCCATTCCCCAAATTGTGTATTGCATGCCAAGAAGTTAAGTCAGATTACTGGTCTACTTCTTAGAATCTAAGTTTCACATCTCTATTTGTATTTCAATGAAAAGGCTTCACGGTGCACTAAGTCATTAAGGCTCTGGGATCTTTGCAACTCTTAATGGCAGCCCAACAGGGAAAGTCATTGTAGAGCAAAAATAGTCATGGGATTAGAGAAGAAAGGCTGGTTTGCAATACCATTGCTGCTGTGCACACTCCCTCCCAGGAGGTGCATGAGTGGATTGAGGTGTAAAGCTAAGGCTTTGCACGCTAACTACCTCGTCAGAACGCGTTTATTGGGAGTTATGGCTGAGTTATTCTCCTTAGCAACAAGATGGAACAGAAAATTTCATTGAGAATGAGAATCTTTACAGTCACACATGCAGTGTCTTAACCTAATCGCTTTAAAACCATATACTTAAGTGATTGGAGTAGAAGAAAATCATAAAGGTAGAAAATTTTCATCTTAACATAATTCCCTTATAATGATCAGGTGCATTTTTTTGCCTGCAAATTTTCTAAAATCTAAGTTGGAAGTGTGCAGTGATTTAATGTTACTTTCAGTTTTCTTTCCTTTTATTTGCTATAGCTAAACTAAGTCAAACCAGAAACAGATACAAGTCACAAAATAATTTTTACCTTGGATCACACACACTCAGAAATTGCCACACACAAGTTGCTACTAGTTTCTGTGTTTATGACACGCAAAATAATCTTGAAATGAAGCTGGAAACTCTAAGTTTCTGAGTTAAAATGGAGTTTGTTCTCAAAAAATAGTGGAAATCAGAAATTTTAGACTATTAGGCAAACTTTTCCCTAAGAAATTGTTGAAACTGCCACCTGCAGTGCTGCCATCGGCATGCTGTTTGAGTTTGGCTGATCCATTTCTGATCCCACTCCCTGCCAATGGCCTGGAAAAAGCAACAGGTGGTTCAGTTGTCTCGGTGGTCCCTCTACCCATGTGGAAGACCCAGATGAAGCTCCTGACTTTGTTCTGGCCTCAGACCACTTGGGAAGTGATTCAATGGATGAAAGATCCCCTTCTGTCTCTTCCCATTTCTCTCTACCTCTATATTTCAAATAGATGAATAAATCTTTAAAAAAAAAAAAGTAAGGAAAGCAGGGAAGTTTCAAAGTAGAAGGAGGGGGAGCCATTGGTGGGATTTGAGGAGCCTATAGAGTTTGGGACAGAACTATAAAAAGTTGGCCTGGCTGCCACGCTAGAGACTGACATATGATCTCTTACGATCTTTCCAGGTGATTATTGAATGTGTAAAGAAAGTGATCTAATGCTTATGTAAGGGGAAACACAGGTACAGAATTTCCAAGTCCTAAATATGTCAAAGTGTGCAAAGCTTTGAATGAACTGAAATTATCTTCAGAACAATGAGGAAGCCAAACCTTCTTTTTTTTTTTTTTTTGGCAACTGGATTTTAAGTGTGTTGTGTGGAGCGATTCCCTAGACACAGTGATTTAGAATGGCAGCACTTGCAGTGACACCAGAAGCTTTGATGAATTGGAGATACAAACTGCAAATTCCTCTCACAGCTACTATTTAAACTGGATGTAATTGTCGTTACTGGATTCTTAAGTCCACAAATTGGTATTCTTTCTCAATGAACAAGAATAAAAACTAAGTAGAGCCCAAAAGGTCGACGGTCCTCCTATGTCACTGCAGAAAGTTGAAAACCTTGATGTTGAAGCAATGAAAAGCCCCTCGAAATATCAAACTACAAAGAAATGATGCACAAAGGAAGAGATAAAGCAATGCAATATTTTGTCAAGCAGTGAAAAAGTAATTTCAAATTTAGTTTGGTTCAGCTTTTGGTACAATAAGGAATTATTTTAAAATGCAGATTTAATTTTATTTCCCAACAGGATGTACCATATAATCAATATACACTATTGAGCTTCAGAGTAGGAATTTAGAATATAATCCTACCCCTTATCTAATATGTATTATGTTTCTATGTACATTGCATTCATAAAAATATTATGAAGGCATATGTATAAACACACATGCATGATCCTATAATCATGGGCCAACAGAAGATTAGATTATATGGAATAAAACTGGTTTACTTCTTAAAGCCTAAAAAGCATAAAAACTTCAGGGAATGTTTTCAGCTGGAATTAGAGGCAGAGAAAATTTCTTATGAATATATTACTTCTATTCAAAATACACACACACACACACATATCCTGGCTAGAAAAGAAAAAGGAATTTCTAAGACACTGTGTTGCTTCCTCCATGTGTTTGTGTATTCATGAATTCCTCCTGGAATGCCTGTCCTCTCTCCTAACAGCTAGTCTGATCCCTGGCGCGTGGTGAACGCTTGCAAATTCTCAAGTTGCTCTGAAGACTCAGTGTTGTGCTACTCAGCCCATGAGTGTTAATCATGTCCTATAATCTGTAATGATCTTTCCTGTCTCTGCACTTTTATTACCTTTAGTATTTATATGGCTTACTTGATGGCATTCAAACATGATTTTACCATATTTCCTTTTTCCTTGTGCATTGTCTCCCTGACTGTTTTGTAGTCCACTTGAGGTTGGATATTACAGCTCAGAGTCTTTTGGATGAAAGCATAATACTTATTAAATGTTAAGTATAATCACCCAAGTGATTGCTCAATTATAATTCTCTGGTATATTTCTTTGGCACAGAGAAAACATTCAAATACTTGACTGTATAAGTTAATTCTCTACTGCAAGCACCAGCATCCCACATGGCTGCCAATTCGTGTCCTGGCTGCTCCACTTCCAGTTCACTGCCCTGTTTGTGACCTAAGAAAGCCCAAGACCTTAGGTCGCTTTGTGGGACAGCTCAAAGAGTTTCCTGGTTCCTGCCTTCAGATCAGCTCAGGTCTAGCCATTGCAGCCATTTGAGGAGTGGACCAGTGAATGGAAGATTGCTCTCTCTTTCTTTCCTTCTCTTTATATATCTTCCTTTCCAATTTAAAAAAAAAAAAACTTCTGTAATGAAATTTTAGCCAGATAGTTTGTTTTTCATTTTAAAGAAAAGTAATTCAGTAGTATTATAGACAGATGCTTTCAGGAAATGCTGTTGTTGTACTTACCTATATCTGAAAACTGTCTAATTTGATAGCACTGTAGTAGACGTTTTAGAATAATCAGAGATTTTTTCATTGTAGAGCTTCAAGCAGAAGAACGTCTGTCTTTCATATGCAGAGAATAATTTACGATTCAGTCTTTAGAATGATGGTTTTTTTTCTATAGCTATCCCAAAGGAAGCATCTACTTTGATTTCAAGACCTCATACAGATTGAAGCTTTGTTCTTTAGTTAGTGACAAGATCTGAATGGATTCACATGCCTAAAGCTCTTTAGATATGTTAACGATTAACATTTTTGCCAAGGGATCATCTCAAAAACTTTCAACATCTCTTTTTTACACAGTGACAATCGTTGGCTATGGATAGGTTTGAATAAAAGAAGCCCCGATCTACAAGGATCCTGGGAATGGAGTGATCGTACACCAGTGAGTTGAAACTTTCTCGTTTAATGTAATATGTAAGGAAAGTTTATTTTGATAACAATAAGTGGGTTGTTGAATAAAACATTTTTACGAAAAATTTCTGTAAAACCATGATAGACACTGAAGAACTGAGACAAACTTAACAAAACTAAGCTTGGGCATCAGTTGACTTCAAAATATACTACAAAGTTATTATAACCAAAACAATGAGATATTAACATAATAATAGACATAAACCCTTGAAAGCAAAGAGCCAGGTCCAGCATTGTGACACACACATGGGTACCAGTTCACATCCTGGCTATCCTACTTCTGATCCGGTTAATGTTCTTGGGAAACAGCACAGAATAGCCCAAGTGCTTGGCTTCCTGCCACTCATGTGGAAAACCTGGAAGAAGCTCCTGACCCATGGCTTTGGCCTGACCCAGCCCTGGCTGTTGTAGCCATTTAGGAAGTGAACCAGCAGATAGAAGACCTCTCTGTCTGTCTGTCTCACTCTCTCTCTCTAACTCTGCTTTCCAAATAAATAAATTAAACCTTTCAAACAATTGCCTAAAAATGACTGAACAATTTAACTGTAAGCTCTAAAACTGTGATGCCACTAGAAGAAAACATAGGTGAAGCTCCCTGACACTGGCCCAGGCAATGGTTTATTGCCATGACCCCAAAAGCACAGGCAAGAAAAGCAAAAATAAGCAAATGAAATTGTATCAAAAGAGATTGCAAATCAAAAGAGATGATGAGCAGATGAAGGGGACAATCCACAGAATGTAAGGAAGTATTAGCAAATTATATGTCTGATAATAAGCTAAATGTATAAAATACAAAAGAAACTAAAACAACTCAACAGCAAGAAAACAAAAAACTTGATCAAAAAGGGCCTGAATAGACATTTCTTAAAAGCACATATGCAAGTAGCCAGTTATTTGAAAACCATAATGCAAATATGAATTAAGGCTACGGTGACATATCACCTTACTCAGTGAGATTAGAATAGCTATTATCAAGATGACAAAAGATAAGCTTTAGTGAAATACAGGGAGGCAGAACCCTTACACACTGCTGTTGGGAATGTAAATTAATTAATGCAGCCATTTATATATATATATATATATATATATATATATATATATATATAACCCGGGACAATAGCATAATGGTTAAGGTCCTTGCCTTGAACACGCCGGGATCCCATATGGGCGCCAGTTCTAATCCCGGAAGCTCCACTTCCCATCTAGCTTGTGGGCTGGGAAAGCAATCAAGGACAGCCAAAAGCTTTGGGACCCTGCACCCGTGTGGGAGACCTGGAAAGAAGCTCTTGGCTTCTTGCTTTGGATCGGCACAGCACCGGCCATTGTGGCCACTTGGAGTATTGGATGGAAGATCTTCTTCTCTGTCTCTCCTCCTCTCTGTACATCTGCCTTTCCAATAAAAATAAAATAAATAAATCTTTATCAAAAAAATAGGGAGTTTCTTCAAAAACTAAAAAGTGGAATTACCAGGGCCAGCATAGCCTAGCTGCTGTACTTCTGATACAACTCCCTACTAATGACCTGGGAAAGCAAAGGAAGAAGACCCAAGTGTTTGGGCCCCTTCCATCCATGTGGGAGACCTGGATGAAGTTCCTGGCTCCTGGTTTTGAAGCTCCTGGGCTAGCTCTGGCTATTAGCAGATATCTGAAGGGTGAACCAAAGAAATGAAAGATTTTTTTTCTCTCTTTCCCCCTCTCCTTCTCTCTGTGTTTGCGTATGTTTCTGTAGCTGTCTCTCCTTCCTTCCTTCCTTCCTTCCCTCTCCCCTTCCCTCCAAACCCATGCAACTGACTTTCAAATAAAAAAATAAATGAATCTTTAAAAAATGGAACTACCAGGCCTGGCATGGTGGCCTAGCAGATAAAGTCCTCATCTTGTATATGCTGGGATCCCATATGGGTGCCAGTTCTAATCCCGCTTCGCATCTAACTCCCTGCTTGTGGCCTGGGAGAGCAGTCTAGGATGGCCCAGGGCGGTAGGACTCTGCATCCACGTGAGAGACCTAGAGAGGGCTCCGGGCACCTGGCTTTGGATTGGCAGAGCTTGAAGGGTGAATCAGCAGACAGAGGATCTTCCTCTCTGTGTGTCTGGCTTTCCAATAAAAATAAAAACAAAATCTTAAAAAAAAAAAATGGAACTACCATCTGAACCAAAATACCACTCCTGAGTATATATATATATATCCAAAGGAAATTACATCAGTGTATCAGAGAGACATATCTATTCCCATGTGTGTTACAGCACCATGCACAATAGTAAGATAGAGATTCAACATGTCCATCAACAGAGTCAACAGAGGACTGGATAAGGAAAATGTGATATACATAAATACAATGGAATACTGTTTAGTCAATAATAAAAATGTAATTGTGTCAATTGCATGGATGAACCTAGAGGCCTTCATAACCTAGACACAGACAGATACTGGTGTGCCCACTTACATGTGAAATCCAAAAAGCCTTCATCCTGTAGAACTCAACAATAGAACAGCGATTACCAAGAGCGGGAGCAGTTGTAAGGAAGGAGACGTTGATTAAAGGATACAAAATTTCAGCTACACTATAACAATAAGCTTAAGAAATGTATTGATAATACAGATAATATAGTAACTGTAGTTAATTTATTATGTTCCTGAAAACAGTAAGAGATTCAGCATAAATTTTTCTTGCCACAAAAATAGCTGTGTTAGGTAATGAGTATGCTAATTAGCTAGACTTAGTCATTCAATAGTAACGCTGCATGTAATATATGCATAATTTTATCTGTCAGTTTTAAAAATAAAATTTAAATATATCATATAACCATTAAATTGTAAGTGTATGTTGGGATGGAGATAGTCACGTAAATGAGAAGGATAAAGTAAGTTACTAATCCTGTTTTTATTTTCAAAGAAAACATGCATTGTCTTTCTGATCCTAACACTAGCCAGATATGGGCATGATTTTCATTGTGTACCACAAACAATTTTTTTTTCCTGTCATATTGTTTGCTAACTCCTTTAAAAAAATAAAGCAACAGTTATGAGAAAAATAAAGTATATTTATTCAGGAAAGTAATTTGTTTGGATAACCTTTAAAAATTCTTAAATATTACTTCAAATGTTTGTATTATCCCAAAAGGAGCTTTTATGAAACACTTTTAGGAGTAAAATTATTCCCAGTTTTTTAATATTTGTTCTACCTCATTGCTGTGGTCAATTCACTTTGTGTTTTTCTAAATACAAGACTCCTTACGTTTTGTTCTCAAGTTGGAGCACGTATGAGATAAGTTGCACTTCATCACATGGAAAACAAAGTCTTTGGCAAGCTCTTGATTCTCTGTGACTCCAGTGGTGAACTTCATACACCATTAACCTCTAGTTCTGAAACCGTGTCTTGCTTTGTTTGGATTCATATAACATTATGACATTCTCTAAGTCCTCTGATGATTTAGCATCCTGGTGTAAAAATGAGATGAGAAGGTTTTCTTTGTGTAACCTGTGAACATGCTGGAGTTATTAGAGCTGCTCAAATGACATCTAAATTGCAGATATTTCTACATCACTCTTAAATCCTCAAGCCTCTCTTGTCTTTTTCAGGTGTCTACTCTTCTCATGGAACATGAGTTTCTGCAAGATTATGACATCAGAGACTGTGCTGCTGTCAAGGTCAGTGTAATGCCAGAGAGTTTGTGTATTTAGAAAACCAATCTGCTGTCCCATATGGTTGACAGCAGATCCACGGGTGCCTTTTGTGGGTATAGCATCGTGTCAGGTGCAGTGGGTGTTAAGTACATTCCTGGCTTTAGTAACCTAGCTTACACTTAATTTGAGAAGATAAAACTTACATTCAGCAAAGGGCACTGAGTTGTGGGGGAAATTATGTAATATTGATAGTTTTAATCCGCATTAGCTGTAAGATATATCATATGGTAAGTTGAAATCAAGACTGGAATTGAAAGGAAAATATAGAAGAGAGTAAGTAGCATGAGGCTGACATAGTAATGTAACAGACTGACCCTCTGCTGTGGCACCGGCATCCCCTATGGGTGCCGATTTGTGTCCCGGCTGCTGCACTTCCAAACCAGCTCCCTGACTATGACCTGGTAATGCTGCAAAAGATGCCTAAAGTCCTTGGGACACTGGATCCACATGGGAGACCTTGAAGAACTGCCTTGGCTCCTGGCTCCTGGCTCCTGGCTCCTGGCTCCTGGCTCCTGGCCCCAGGCTTCTGGCTCCTGGCCCCTGGCCCCTGGCTCCTGGCTTTGAATAGTTTCAGCTACGACTATTGCAGTCAGTTGGGGGAATGAAGCAGTAAACGGACTATCTCTCCCTACCTCTCCTTCTCTTTGTAAATCTGCCTTGGAAATAAAAATAAATACATCTTTAAAAGAAAAATATGGAATAAGTAGCCAAGGTGTGGATTTCAGGTAACTGCGAAAAAAGGAAAGACAATGAGAAAGGAGACCCCTAGGTAAATGTTTACTTTGTCACTGTTTTCAAAGTAACTGTTCTATTAATAAGCTGTGCAATATCATGCCCTTTAACAGAATTCACGGTTTAACTCAAAAAAACAAAGACTGTCAGTGAGGCTGGAGCAACTCTCAGCAGTGCTGAGAACACTGGTGCAGTCGATTCTATGTAAAGTCCTTCCATGTGGAGAGACTTGAACATGTACAAAATTAAGTGGATAGGAGCAGGTGTTGGGGTAACCTTGTATCAGGAACAAGCCCAGCCAAGACCATGTTCTACAAGGACAATCGTGTTTCACCAGCCGTAGTACCCACCAAACTTGTGGACTTTACAAGCAAATGACCCCAAGAGTGCCGGGGGTTCCCCTCCCTGAACTGTGTCCTATGCTTTCCTTTCTCTTCTTGCTGGCTGGAACTTGTAGTGCTATGTTAGATGGAGTGGGAACCAACACCTGTAGATGGCAGAATAAAACTGAAGAGGGATCCCAGGCCCTGAGGTGTGGTCACTTGCTAACTGTTCTGATGTCAGCCTGCTGTTTGGACACCACTGAAATACATTTGTTTTCTAAAATAGTCCTTTCAAATTTTAAAAGTATAAGATTTTACCATTTCATATAAAAAAGGATAAAAGAAGATAATAATCTCTATTACAAATACATATATGTATGTATATGTGTTTATATTTGTATAAATATATGTGTATATGTGTTTGTAATATAAATTATGACATATTTGTATATGTAAATATATGTATTTGTAATATAAATTACATATGTATGTACTATGGTTTCTTTTTTTTTTTTTCTTTTTTTTTTTTATTGTTGCTTACATTATATTATGTAGTACAGTTTTATAGGCACTGGGGATCCCCCTCCCCCTCCCATACCCCTCCCCCCATGGTGGATTCCTCCACCTTGTTGCATAACCATAGTTCAAGTTCAGTTGAGATTCATTGCTTGCAAACACATGCCTATCATAAAGTTCAGCGTCTTATTGTCCAGATAAGTTCAGTGGCCTCTTGGGGAGACCTTCTATGGTCTGAAGATAGGTCTAACAGAGTAAAGATCCAGTCAGTTAAAAGCCCCAACAAGGCCTCAGTATCATTATACAACATTATGGAATTAATTGACATAGTATTGGGTAAACAATATGTTAAAAATAATGCAAGTTCCATTCTTGGAAACATCTGGGTTGAGACAGTATCAATGACAGGTTCAAAAAATAACAAACAACCAAACAAAAAATTACAGGTTAAATCAAGGCAAACATGTGGTATCTAATCTTTTGGGATTCGCTCATTTCCCTTAGCATTATAGTTTCCAGTTGTGCCCATTTAGCCACAAAGAACTGCATTTTGTTTTTTTTAATAGCTGAGTAGTATTCCATGGAGTAGATGAACCAAAGCTTTCTTATCCAATCTTCTGCTGATGGGCATTTTGGTTGCTTCCATGTTTTCGCAATTACTGATTGTGCTGCAATGAACATAGGGATGCATGTTGGTTTGTCGTAAAACAGGTGTTTTGGATATATTCCTAGGAGTGCTATTGCTGGGTCATACGGTATGCAGATTTTGAGTTGTTTGAGTGTTCTCCAGACTGATTTCCATAAAGGCTGTACCAATTTGCAGCTCCACCAGCAGTGGAGTAGGGTTCCCTTTTCCCCGCATCCTCGCCAGCAAGCGTCGTTGGTGTTCTTGTTTATGTGGGCCAATCTTACTGGTGTTAGGTGGTACCTCATCGATGTTTTAATTTGGATTTCCCTTATTGCTAGGGAGCTGGAACATTTTTTCATATGTTTGTTTGCCATTTGGACTTGTTCCTTTGTGAAATGTTTGCCCATTTCCCGTGCCCATTTCTTGAGTGGCTTGTTTGTTTTGGTTTTTTGGTTGTTTTGAAGTTCTTTGTATATCCTGGAAATTAGCCCCCTATCGCCTATATCGTGTGCAAAGATCTTCTCCCACTCTGTGGGTTGCTTTTTTACTTTGTTGATTGTTTCCCTTGCTGTACAGAAGCTTCTTAGTTTGATGAGGTCCCATTTGTTTATTCTGTTCTCAACTGCTATTGCTTTGTACTATGGTTTCTTTATCAACCCTTCTGTAGATTTTTACTCAAGCTGTCACTATTTAAACATTCCACTCATTCGTGTATCCATTTATCAAAGAAGTATCTTAGAGAACTAGAGCAAAAACAAAGCTCAAGGCCATAGGGGGTTACACTTTAATGTTTTTAAATGCTATGTTAACTGTAAAATATTCTGCCATCTTTTCCCTCTTCTAGGTCATTCATAGGCCATGGCGGAGAAGCTGGTATTTCTTTGATGATTATGATTTTTTTTATATGAAGCCTTTTGCTTGTGATACAAAGCTTGAATGGGTGTGCCACATTCCAAAAGGTATGTGACAGTGACTCTGTGTGACAACTTTTTATGTTAGCATTGTGAACGCTGAAATAAAAGGATCGAAGGGTATTTTAGTCTAATTATAACTCTTAAAAGCCTGTGAAGGTGCACTTACTATATTAAGGACGAAGCAGAAAGCTACTTTGTTGAAATCTGAACTACTTTACTCTCTGATCATGGAAGCATTCGTATACAAGATAAAATTGAAGGTTCATTTAGGAAGGTTTGATTGTGGAATGAAGGTTTATTTTAAGCAAAAGGAGAAATGCATAGAAAAGAATAATTTTAGTTTTAATTGATGCAAAATGAAGGATGAGGCAAGAGTCTAGAAAACAAAATGTGGGAATTCCTGTAAGTGCTTGGACTCCTGCTGTTTACACAGAAGACCTCCAAGAAGCTCCTGGCTTCACCCTGATTCAGTATTGGCCATTGAAGCTATGGGAAGAGAGGAGTGAATCACCACAGGAAAGATCTCTCCTTCCCCCATCCTAACTCTCCTCCTAACTCTGACTTTCAAAAAAATAAGTACATCTATATAAAAAGAAGAAAGAAAGAAAGATAGATAGATAGAATTTATTTTCTTTTATGTAGCGTTTTATTAGGAAACTATGAAGGAATAGTAAGACAAATTACAAAATTTAAATTTCTAAATTCTTTTTAAGCAAAAATTTAATATGTTAACTTAGTTAATGGCAAGTGTACAGAACGTTCAAAAATGCTATGACTTAACACAGTAGGCTGCCATCTGCTAACTGGCATCCCTTTGGGGCTTGAGTCTCAGCTGCTTCACTTCTGATCCAGCTTCTGTGCCTATACCCATGTGGGAAGCCCAGAAAAAGCTCCTGGTTCCTGGGTTTTGACTAGCTTTTGTAGCTATGTTACAAATAAAGGCCATCTGCCCACCGCTATAGCCTACTGGCTAAATCCCCACCTTGCATGCGCTGGGATCCCAGGTGGGTGCGAATTTGTGTTCTGGCTATTCTACTTCCCATCCAGCTCCCTGCTTGTGGCCTGGGAAAGCAGTCGAGGATACCCCAAAGCTTTGGGACCCTGCACCTGTGTGCAAGACCCGGAAGAAGCTCCTGGTTCCTGCTTCAGATCTGTTCAGCTGCAGCCATTGTGGCCACTTGGGGAGTGAACCAGTGGATGATCTTTCCTTTACTCTCCTTCCTTCTGTAGATCTGTCTTTCCAATAAAATAAATAAACCTTTTTAAAAATAAAAATTTTTTTTTAATTTAAAAAATGAAAGTTTTAGAGCTGTCAGCATGGCTCCACAGGCTACCACAGGCTACTCCTCTGCCATATAAGTGCCGGTTCTAATCCCAGCTGCCCCACTTCCAGTCCATCTCTCTGCTTATGGCCTAGGGAAGCAGCAGAGGATGGCTTAAGTCCTTGGGCTTCTGCACCCATGTGGGAGATCTGGAAGAAGCTCCTGGCTTCAGATCAGTTCAGTTTTGTTCATTGCTATTTGGGAAGTGAGCCAGCAGATGGAAAATTTATCTCTCTCTCTCGGTCTATCCTTCTCTCTGTAGTGCTGGGTTTCAAATAATAATAAATAATTTTTTTTCTATTTCCTTAATATTTTATACACATCTTTACTTTAGATTGTTCCCATTGTACAACACTTTTGATAAATCTCTTTAAACCTTTGTGAATACTTTGAAGGTAGATAATCTGCCTTATTCAATTTTATATTCTTTTAAATTGTTATTTTCTATGATACACTTTTGTAGGCATAAGGGTTCTTTCCTTCCTCTTTCTCCTTCCCTCCTTATTTCTCCTCCTGCCATTTTACCCCAGATTGCTACAGTATTACAGTCCTTTAGCAACAGTTACAAGTTTAACTTTGTAATATTTAAATGTGTCATGGCGTGGTAGATATGGGCAAAGGCAGAAAATTTAGTATCATACTGTAAATGTATACTTAAATGTGTGTATTCTGCTTCATTACTTTTTAAAGATTTATTTACTTATTTGAGTATAGTTACTTGGGTCAGGAAGGGGGTATTGTAAAGGAAGAAGAGAAAGAGACAGAGAGAGAGAAGTGTCTTGTGCTGGTTCACTCCCCAAATGGCTGCAATAGCCAGGACTGAGCCAAGCTGAAAGCTAGGAGCCAGAAGCATCTTTTGCTTCTCCCGCATGGGTGCAGAGACCTAAGTGCTTGGGCTATCTTCTGCTGTTTTCTTAGGCCATTAGCAGGGAGCTTCATCGGAAATGGAGCAGCCAGGACTCGAAGTGGTGCCCACATGGGATGCCAGCAGCAGAGGCCACAGCTAACCTACTGTGCCACAGCACCAACACCTCATTTTTATAGAGTAGAAAGTTGAGGCTCAGGGAAATAAGCAACTCATCTAAAATACCAATGCCACCACAGTGTAGATGAGGGCGTTTGGGCCCTTTGGAGTCCATACTTCTGTGTAACTTACTATATTTCCTGTTTCCATTCCAAGAAAACTGAAGAGTTATATTTTTTCGATGTTTTGTCTTATAATCTCAAAAAGTTCAATATTGATGTCTTGTGGGACAATAAACTACCAACATAGATTTTCAGAGCAGCAACTCAGTTTCCACTGAATAGAGAAGTTGCTTTTGTATAATCTCACTCAACAAGGATTATCTTCTTGCATGCTCTTTAATGATTCTTTGTAATATAGCCAACACTGCTTTTTACTTCCTACTGATCCTAGTTTATACATCTACTCTTCAGTTGTAACTGTCACAATAGGTAAGGGTCCACTGCTGAGATTAGTCATTTTTCACTCATATTCACTAAAGCAGTTTTAGCATATGCCCTATAAACTCAACTCAAGTGATCATAACTTGAACTAAATTGATTTGGCTAGAGTTGCTATAAATACTTTTAAGTTACACTAAAGGTCCTACTTATAGTTTGCCATGATCTGCAATTGAATATTGAACCTAAATCACTTGTTTTTCCTGAAACAGGTCGTACTCCAAAAACACCAGACTGGTACAACCCAGGTGAGTTAAGAGAAATGAAATTTCGCTAAAGCTCTTTTGATTTTTAAATTGGTTCTCTATGTAGTCAGTTGTTTATGCCAACTTCTTCTCTAGCGTACACTCAAATAAAACACACATATCCTACCAGCAGGCAAGGATGGCTGCTGTGGGTGGAGGGGTTGAGGCTGGGATTTTCCTGCCAGGTGAGTACAGGAAACTGGCCAAGTCCATAACTCGGAAACCCTTAGTTCTTCCCATCAGCACAGCTCTGGCCAGAGATCTGTAATGCAAATGGCTCACTCTTTATAAATAGTGGAGAACACGGCCCCACATTCCAGGGGGAGAGCTAGCTTTGCACCATGCTAACTGCAGTCTTCTTTTTCTTCTTTAGAGCGTGCAGGAATTCACGGGCTTCCAGTTGTAGTTGAAGGAAGTGAATATTGGTTTGTTGCTGAACCACACTTGAACTTTGAAGAAGCTTTCCTCTACTGTGCTACCAATTACAGCTTTCTTGCCACTGTCACATCCTTCACAGGACTGAAAGCTATCAGAAACAAAATAGCCAATGTAATTTCAACGAGTGTGTTTTAAGCATGTTTTTTAATTTCTATATTGATGGAATGAAATAATACAAGGGGTCTTCAAAAAGTTCATGGAAATATATATTATGGGGGGAAAATGCCTAATGGTGAATTTTAGGGGCTTTTTTGCATCAAAAAAACTTTTAATTCCATTTTCCATGAACTCTTGGAAGTCCCCTCATACTTCAAAACTCTTTCCAAAATCTTTAAAACTTAGATGTTTTTCTTATAAAAGAGGAACATCCAAATTCAGTGTTTTACTTTTGGAAAGTTAAATAGAATTGCTTGTTTTAAAATATGTGATTAATAGATTAATAAATATAAATTTGAGGTGAGATAAGATAAAGAATCTTTATTCTTTTTCACATTTTAAACAGAAAGGTAACTGTCTAACTTAAGATTCTGGTTTTTTTCCAATGAGTAATTGAAAAATCAATTTTGGAAAAGAAAATTAACTAATATATTTTTCAATTTATGATTTAATTATAATAAAACATCGTAGATCCAGTTAACGTGCTAGTTCAAGTAACAATTACAGCAGCCATATTTTCTGTTCCCAAAATAAGACCTGTGAATATAAAAAGTGTTCTCAAATTCCTTTTTTTGGTGAAAGCACTGTGTTTATGTAATTTTGAAAGTAATGGGATGTCTTGAAACTTTATTGTGTGTGGTAATAGGAAGAAAAGGTTTTTAAACAGAAAATGCAGCCCCTCTAAGGGTGTATGTTTGGTTTGTTTTTCAGATCTCCAATGATGAGCAAAAGTGGTGGTTGAGAGCTAATGAACAGCCCATAGATCATCCTTTTTCAGGGTGTGTTATGTTACTGATTCTACTTTCATAAAGTTGTCCCTTAAAATGCAATACAATCTTACCCTATAGTAAGCGGGCTACTACTTGTAAATAGCTTTGATCATTAATGCATAATCTATCTAGATTAGAGCACTTCAAGTTCCTTTGCATGTTAGCATTAAGTAAAAAGTGGTATAAATGTCATTATAGAATTAAAATGGATGATTAAGAGCAGAATAGAATGGCTGACAATGTTATTGTCCCTCTCTCATTTTCCTTCAGCTTTCGTCGTCCATGGCACTATTATCCTTTCGAGTTTGGAGAGGAATGCATGTACATGTCTGCCAAGACTTGGCTTATCGGTAAAACTAATTCCAAATCCTGTACTATTGATTATGTAATATGTCAACTCTAGCTTCCATTATAGTCTTGCTCTTGTTTTCCTTCTGATTATGTGTTTGGTAGCTTCAACTTATTCTGATATACTTTTAATGACAGTAGATCAAGTTCTACGTGCAAATAAAGGTGATTTTCACTGTGAATATTTTAACTTCTTTTATCCTAAAGCAGTTATTTAGAGATGAGCTAGTCATTTCTGTAATCAATAAGCATATTGATAAATGTACCAAAGCAAAGCAGGCAACACTTCTATAGTTTAGGTCCTTTGAGCCCTTATTAAACGTCCCATTCAACCTGCTTCTTGCTTCCTGGCATCACTCCTTGAATGATGCAGTAGCCAGACTGAATATGTGCTTTTTGTAGGCAAGGTGGGTATGCTACAACCTACTGATAGGAATAATAATAGAAGATTGGACTGGGAAAAGGATAAATTTCAATAAATAAAAGATTGGACTGGAAGAGGGATCAATTCTAACCATTTGGAAAAGACTGATTTAAAAAGCTAAAGCCTTTCTGTAGGTTGGATTGTTTTTAAATGTGTTCTCCCTATAATCATCCTACTTTTTCATTTCTCAGACTTAAATAAACCAGCAGACTGTAATACCAAGTTGCCCTTCATCTGTGAAAAACATAGTGTATCTCCATTAGAAAAATACAGTCCAGATCCTACAGCTAAAGTCCAGTGCTCCGAAAAGTGGGTTTCTTTTGGAAATAAGGTAAGAGAGAATTGCTACATTGTGCACACAATGATTGCTTTCGCCTTGCACCTGTGGCCTAGAGGAAATGGTAGCCAATCACACAGCCTCCCTAAATCGTCTCCACATACATCAGTATCATTTGTGTCACTCTGCACTGTCAGCATCCATGGACAATGTTAACTCTCAAACTGTCATATCCACAGATAGGTCTTCCAAAGTGCAATAGTTCTATGCCCTTGCTACTAAAACTGAAGTTGCTGCGTGGTAATTGAATAAAATTGGCCACTGAATGGTAATCCACTGAACAGTAAGGGCACTCACTATACATATAGAAGAAGCTTGACTTAATTTCTGGCTGATGTATTTTTGTCTCTCTCAAGGAGAACATCTGCCAGTCAAATTAGAACAGCATTTCCCAAACTACCTTCTAGGGATGCCACATATGCTATAAGATGTTAGCCATTGGTTCTGTCACCAAATAGTAGCCTAAATAGGTTTGGAAAATGTTACAGTGTATTTGACTCTTTGAGATGCATAATCCATATTTGCATATGTATTTATTAGGAAATGCATGTGGCTGTTAAAAAGGAATTTCTAAGATATATTAAAATGGAAACATTTATTCTTTCACATAGAAGAAGTGTGCAGGTTGGCAGGCTGTGCTGATGTCTTCAAAAACAGGCTCCTTTTGTTTCTACTCTGCCATCCTTAATACACAGCCTCCAAGCTCAGTTTCAGGGTATGCTTTTTCTAGTGTCTTTTGCTAAATGCCCATCCCCCACCCCAAAGCCTTTGCCTGTATCTCCAAAATGTAAAAACCCTGAGAAACAATTTTGTATGACATTTCAAGAAGCACAATTCAAGATGTGTTACTCCAAGAGTAGCTGATTAGTATAGTGGGTATGCTGCCCTTATCAGAGTGCCTGGGTGTGGGTCCTGGCCTGTCACTGGTTCCAACTTCCTGTTGATTCAGATCCTAGGAGATGGCAGGTGATGGCACAAGTAGTCTTGTCCCTGCCACTCCTGTAGGAGATTCAGATAAAGGTTCTGGCTCTTGGCTTCAACCTAACCCAACCCAGGGTGTTATGGGAATTTGTTACTAATGGGAAGCAGCAGATGAGAAATGTCTCCATCTGTCTATTTTTTAAAGATTTATTTATTTCTACTGGAAAGTCAAATATACAGAGAGCAGGAGAGACAAAGAGGAAGATCTTCCATCTGCTGATTCACTCCCCAGGTGGCTGCAATGGCCCGAGCTGCGCCAATCCGAAGCAAGGAACTCAGATCCTCTTCCAGGTCTCCCACATGAATGCAGGGTCTCAAGGATTTGGGCCATCATCCCAGGCTACAAACAGAGAGCTGGATGGGAAGTGGGGCTGCTGGGAATAGAACCTGTGCCCATATTGGGTCCCGGCTCTTTCAAGCTAAGGACTTCAGCCACTAGGCTACCGTGCTGGGCCGTCATCTGTCTGTTTTTATCTCTGCCTTTCAAATAAATAGCGTTGTTTTTCAACATGTACTATTAGGTATGATGGGTAAAGCAGCCATCTGTAGTTCCAGCATCCTATAAGGGGACCAGTTTGTATCCCGGCTGGTGCTTTTTCCATTTAATTCCCTGTTATAGCACCTGGGAAAGCAGTGGAAGATTGCTGAAATCCTTGAACCCCTGCACCCATGTGGGAGACCCAGAAGAAGCTGCTGGGTTCCCACTTTGAATCACCTGAGCTCCAGCCAATGTGGCCATTTTGGAGAGCAAACTAGTGGATGGAAGGTCTCCCCGTCTCTCCTTCTTTCTCTCTCTGAAATTGGCTTTTCTAATAAATAAATGCGTATGTTTTTAAAATGTATTACTGTTCAATACTGTAGTGATCAAAATATTAAAAAGAAAAAGGAAACTGACAGCTGAAAATATTTGTAGTAAGTTTAATCCATCCATCGATTCAACCCAATGGGTACAACATCCCAGGCTGGGCCAGGAACTTCACCTGATTCTCCAGTGTGGATACAGAGGCCCAAGGACTCTGCCTTCTGCTGCTTTGTCAGGTGAATTAGTAGGGAGCTGGATCAGAAATGGAACAGTCAGGACTAAATCTAGCACATAACTAGGGCACTGGCATTGCAGGCAGCAGCTCAACTCGTTACATCACAATATCAATCCCAAAATTGGATTCTTGATATAATTAAGTAAAATTAAGAGCACAAGCTTTGAAACCAGATGAAACAGGGTCTATATTGCCAGTCTTGCCACTGTGTGGCTTCCTCATTTATAAAGTAAAGTAAGTTACTTCTGTTTCCCCAATTGTGAAAAATTAAATGAGATAATATTGTAAAATGACTTAGCACATGGAATTACTCAGCATATTGAAAAATATACACACAAATGATTACTTCAAAAAAATTATGGGAGGGCCCGGCGGTATAGCCTAGTGGCTCAAGTCCTCGCCTTGAATGCACCAGGATCCCATATGGACGCCGGTTCTAATCCCAGCAGCTCCACTTCCCATCCAGCTCCCTGCCTGTGACCTGGGAAAGCAGTGGAGGATGGCCCAAAGCCTTGGGACCCTGTACCCACGTGGGAGACCCAGAAGAGGTTCCTGTTTCCTGACATAGCACCGGCCGTTGCGGTCACTTGGGGAGTGAATCATCAGACAGAAGATCTTCCTCTCTGTCTCTCCTCCTCTCTGTATATCTAACTTTGTAATAAAATAAATAAAATTTTTTTAAAAAAAGTTATGGGAAATTAAATTAGGAGATGCTTAATTTGCTCAAAAAAAATCTATGCATAGTTTTACCATAATATTATCCATGAGCGTTTTGAACATCTTCAAATGGCATAGTTTGACAATTTTCCTTCAGTTATTTAAAATGAAATGTTTAGATCACAATTCTTATCTTTTAAAATTTCTATTTATTGGACCAACTCCGTGGCTCATTAGACTGATCTTCACTCTGCAACACCAGCATCCCATATGGGTGCTGGTTTGAGTCCTGGCTGCTCCACTTCTGATCCTGCTCCCTGCCTCTGGCATGGGAAAACAGTGGAAGATGGCTCAAGTCCTTGGACTCCTGTACCCATGTGGGAAACGCAGTGCAGGCTCCTGGCTTCAGACTGGCTGAGCTCTGGCGGATGCAGCTGTTTGGGAAGTGAACCAGTGAGTGGAAGATATTGATCTTTTCTCTCTCTGCAGATCTACCTCTCAAAAATAAATCTTGAAGAAAATGTTTTTATTTATGTGAGAAAGTAAGAGAGAGGCAGAAAGATCTTCCATCTCTTGGTTCATTCCCCAAATTGCTGCAGCGTTCAGGGCTGCTCCAAATGATAGTCAGTGGCCTGAAACTCTATCCTGTCCCCCACAAAGGCACTAAGGGCCTAAGTAGGTGGGCCGTCTCCCACTGCTTTCCCAGGCACATTAGCCATGGGGCAGGACAGGAGACAGAGCAGCTGGGACTCATACCAACAGTACACCAGGAGTATTGGCATTGCAAGCAGTAGTTTAACTTGCTGCATGCCAATGCTATCCCCTAAACCAGTGGCCTATGGCACTACTTTGTACATTACATTTCATAGCATGAAAATCAGCATCCCTGTAAGAAATAAGACATTTACCGGTTTTGTGACTTTTCCTTGTCTGTAATCTTATGCTTAAATTGCTTCTGTGTTTGCAGTGTTTTCTAAAGATCAACACCCAATATGCCAAATTTTCTCAAGCAAATGATATCTGTCATTCCTATGGCGGCACCCTTCCTTCCGTATTGAGCCAGAGTGAACAAGGTACCAGGACTGTGTGAGAAACACATCTTATTTTGATCTGAAATCCAAGTTAGTTTGAGGGGGCTGTAGAGAGCTGGTATATAAAAACAATTTATTCATCTATTTTATGGAGTGGATAAAAAGTTGTTGTGATTGATAAACAAAAGATGCTCATGGACTTCTGTGTATCTTTAATTTGAATAAGTCAAATAGCTTTATAAAAATCTCCTTCTCGCAGATTTTATTACATCCTTGCTTCCGGATATGGGAGCTACTCTGTGGATTGGTTTGCGCTGGACTGCCCATGAGAAGATTAACAAGTGGACAGATGACAAAGAGCTGATATATGGCAACTTTCACCCATTGTTGGTTGGTCGGAGGCTGAGGATACCAACAAATGTAAGTTTTCTTAACATCAATAATTACATAATCCTGTGAAATGCCCAAATCTTCCATAAATCATTAGATTAAGAACAAGGATCTATTCTGTGATTCTATTTATATAAAATGCCTAGAAGAGAGACAGATTTGTAAAGATAGTGGATCAGTGGCTTTACCTGCTCCCTGTGAAAAGCAGTGAAGATGGCCCAAGTATTTGGGACCCTGTACTCGCCTAAGAGAACTGGATGAAGCTGCTGGTTCTGGTTTCAGTCTGGCCAGCAGATGAAAGATATATTTCTCTTTGTCTCTCCCTCTTTATCTCTTTAACCCAGACTTTCCAATAAATAAATTAATAACTTAAAAAAAAAGCAGCAGCTAGAAAGGATGAAGGGCTTGAGGATAATGACTACTAACTATGGGGTTTCTTTTAGAAATATTGAAAATGTTTCACAGCTGATTAAGTGATGGCTGTACAACTCTTGAATACGCTAGAATTGTGTATTTAATTGTAGTTCAGTGGAGCTGTCGTAAGAACAGGTGCTTCTTCAGCCTTTGGGTGTGGGGCCTGGTTTTTTTGTGCAATGGCATCAGATCCCATTGCAGCTATTCCACAACCATGTGAAGCCCTCAGGTAGTAAGTTGTAAACTGCAGCAACTACAGATGTTGTACTTAACATTTATGAGCTTCAGGCCTCTATATCTTGCCCCAAAAAGTACATAATTGAAGGAGAGAAGAAAAAAATGTTCTTTTTGTAATGACACTGTGTAATTATTTCCCACTGCCTCTGTCTCAACTGCTTTGTTGATACAAAACTGCTTTGGCACAAATGAAGATGATTGAGAAATTAATGCAGTGAGTAAGCAGTGTTCCTGACAGTATAGCTTGCAGAAGTTTGGGGTTGGGAACAGAGGGACATCTAAATAGTGTAACTATATACAAAGTAAAGACAAAATTAATACTTAGTTGTTACATAAAATGTGGAAGCTTTAGAAGACAAAAAAAGTTGACCTTAATCCCTTTTGACAAGTTAGCTGTAACCCATAGTGAAGAATGCAATTAAATCATCACCAAAGACATAAATAATGAACTGAACAAAAAAATTTAGGAAACAGTGCTTATCCTTAGAGATTATGTACACTGATGTTTTCATTCTATTCAATTTTATTCTATTACATTGCATGATTTTTTATTCTGTCATATCCCATTCTGTTTGGTTTCATTATCTCAAGTAATCAGAGAAGAGCCACTGACTTAATTTCATGTTCTGCTGAATGAGTCTTAGACCATATATGAACTCTGATCCAGGGAATATTAATGAGTGTTTTAGCACATTTTTTTCTAGAACTTTCTTACTTTTTTATGACACATCTACTAGACATTTTCATGACTACACTAGTGTACCCTACTTATCTTAATATTATTGCCTTGTTAGCTTTTAAATATTTTACAGAAAAACTTAAAGGCTCAGTGAGCCTATGTAGATTTAACAATTTTAAACAGTTTTTAATGTTATATGTACATAAATGCACTATTTTTCTTGAAGGCAAGAATGAAAATATTAATATCACATAATATGGAATCGTGAAGAGGTCATAAAATGAAGAAAGAAGGCAGTATTATCACAAAAGGAGTGTAATTCATAAATATCTATACCATGAAAAATCTTATTCACACATTTCATTGACTTCCACATATAAGAGAAAACCTATAGTATTTCTTTTATTCTGTGTTGGGATTATTTCGCTTAACACAATCTCTGATTTCATTTATTTTCCATCAAATGTGTTGCTAATGTTTGGATTTCGTGCCTTTATGACTGTCATATCCCATTACAACATTGCCTTTACTCAGTCTTCAATGGATATATAGTCTCCTGTGCCACTGAAAGAGCTACTTAGGACCAGTGTTGTGCCATAGCAGATAAGGCCACTCTCTGACACCAGCATCCCCTGTGCGTGCTGGTTTGCATCCTGGCTGGTTCACTTTTAATCTAACTGCTTGTGAATGTTCTTGGTAAAGTAGCAGAAAAGAGACCAAGTCCTTTGGCCTGGGCAACCACTTGGAAGACCCAAAAGAAGCATCTTGGCATCTGGGTTTGGGCTGACCCAGTCCTGACTGTGCAGGCCCTTTTGTAGGAATGAATCTGCAGAGCAAAAATTTTTTCTTCCTCTCTAACTCTACCTTTCAAATAAAAATAAATATTTTAAAAGCCTGCTTGACAAGCATTTTAGTGGCTACACATTATTAATTGTGATAAGCTATTACGTACCTAGCCAGTGATGTTTGAAGTTAATCTGTTTTATACAGTAATAAATAGGGCTGCTGGAAGCATCTTGGTGCATAATCTTTACCTACATTTCAGCTACTCTCTTAAATTCAAAGGCAGATCAAAGGCTGCAAGTAGTTAGAAAGCTTGGATTGCCAAACTGCTTTCCAGAAAGGTGTATGAGTTATGATGCTGTCAGCAGTTTGCTGTGCTTGCCCACCCACCATCCCCAGCATATTAATGATTTCTGATGTGCAGTAGCAGTTAATGTGTGATGTACCCTCCTAATATGCACATTCCTTATTTCATCCAATGTGCATGATAGCTGTAAAATAGGCATGTAACCCCTGCTCACTCTTAGAAATGCAATCACATCACTTCTTGGCCTTCTGGCTAGATCAAGTATAGAAATACAGACATTTACACAACCACCATTCTCCCTGCTCTATGTCATTGCCTGTAAAGAATATTAGTTTTTTAAAATTCTTGCTAATTTTCTACATTATGTATTTTCATTGATATTTCACAGATTACTTATTTTAAAAAAAAAGACTTATATATTTGGAAGTCAGAGTATCTCTGATTTCATGTCTTTCTCCACATGCAAGGATTTTGAGAACCATGGTTGGCAGACACCAGGGTCATTTGTCACCATCCTGACTCACCTGGCAGGGCCGTCTCCAGGCTGTTCCTGTTGAGTATTACATTGACTGTTTGACTAAGATACTTTATTGTATAATTAGCTTTGTGGATTTTGAAAATCAGGAATAAATATTGGACTTTCTAAAACTTGTTTCCAATATTTAATGAATTGTCATATAGTTCTTTTTCAGCCTGTCGAAGTGTGGTATGCTACAAGTACATGAGTGAATGTTATATGAAAACATCTTCTTATTCTTTTTATACAATCTGATTGTTAAGTATGGATTCCTATCTTGTTACTGGGTTACAGTTGTTAGAATTCCATCTGAGAATGTTTGTATCTCTATCAAAGAGTTGATTTTTTTATGCTATATCAGCAGATATTTTTCTGATCACACCAGCTTCGCATACCATGAACTTGTGATGGAGTGCTGGCTTTCTGTGTTCTGCAACCAAGACTCGGCTTAGGGAGGGAGTTTTCACTGAACATTTGGAAGAACAAGCTACAAAGTGTTAGAATTTGTTTTGGAGATCCTTCTTTAACAATAGGAAATTTGGGGATGGGCCTTTAGGACAGTAGTTAAAATACCCTGTGGTACCTGCATCCGGAGTTAGAATGCCTAGTTGAGTCCCAGCTCTTCTGCTTCCTGTCTAACTTCCAGCTAATGTGCACACTGGGAGGCAAAAAGTGATGGTTCCGGTGCTTGGGGCCCTGCCACCTGCTTGGGGGACATGGGTGAATTTCTGAGCTTTTTAGCTTTGGCCTGGCCCAGCCCTGAGTATTGGAGGCAACTGAGGAGTGAACCTTTAGACAAAAGAACTCGATCTTTCTGCTTTTCGAATAAAATGAGAATAAATATTTTATTTGAAAGACAGATTTATAGAGAAAAGGAGAGACAGAAAGAAAGATCTTGCATCCACTGACTCCTAAGTAGCTGCAGCAGCCAAAGCTGAGGAAATACGAATTCGGGACCCTGGAACTTCTTCTGGGTCTCCCACTGGGTTCAGCGGCCCAAGGACTTGGGCCATCTTTCACTGCCATCTCCGGTTCATCAGCAGGTAGCTGGATCAGAAGTGGAGCAGGCAGCACTCAAAAAGGTGCCCTTATGTGATGATGACACTGCAGGCAGAGGCTTAACTTACTATGCCACAACACTGGCCCAGAAAGTAAATACATTTTAAAAACAAGTCCATGCTATTTGCTTTGTCCATCTTTTTATCAATCTCCTACCCCTATTACTTGATATACGTTTATGAATGCTACTTCAATATTTTTATCCTATTTTTGTTAGAGTTACTTTTTTTGCATTTTCTAATCTGTATTAATCAATATTTGTCCACTTTTCATTAACAAAATAGTTAATGCTACGTCTTTACCATCTCAAAGTTTTACTTCCGTCCCTTTTTGTATTTCTGATTTTATGATTTCCTGCAATTATTGTATCTCAATATTAGTTTAATATTTATGGAGTAAGAAAATAATATTAATAATACTAATATTAATATTAACATTTTCTATCTGTAGTTCCTACTTTAAACTCATTTTTTACTGTTTTAAGTGCTCTGTGTTTCAAACATAGGGACAAATAGTGGAACAATATATATTGAGTAAATTTGTTGTGTCTGATTGATTTGTAATTAGAAAATGGAATCTGGATACCTTTAATAACCAGAAGCTTTTATAGTGGCTCGTAAGCAGTAAGTACCAGAGCCGTAAGGCATTGTTTCCATTGTGTTATTACAAAGTTTACAAACATTTTGAAGGTTGAATTTTTAATTATGTTTTGCCAACCTGAGCTATCAACAGTGGTCTTGGTGTTAAATATTAAAACAGTTGCAGTTTTATTCCTAATAATTTTATGCTTTTATTTTTTTAATCAAACTTGACACTATTTTGTTGTTTATTTTCTGAAGTTAATTATCGTTTCACATGATTTGAAAGTTTATCAGGATTTTCATGGTTACTTCATACAATGGAAAATTCCATTCTAGAAACTAAAATTTTCTTGCTGGGATTTCCAAGGTGTTGGTTCTGCCATTGTGGATGCCTCTTTGCCTTTTGCTTAGATTTTTGAGGAAGACTCCCAATACCACTGTGCTGTAATACTCAACCACCCAAAGTCACCTTTCACTGGAACGTGGAATTTTACTTCCTGCAATGAATATCACCCTGTATCTCTCTGTCAGAAATATTCAGGTACCAACGATTAACTGGATAACTTTGATGCTTTATATTGTTAAGTATATATGATTAATTTTTACAGAAATCTTACAAACAGAATCGTAACGTTTGGCGTAGATCAATCCGCACTGATTTGATGAGACAGATCATCTCAAGTGGAGTGTGATTTTGTTCAAGGACCGTTGCTAACCCTAGCATGGAGTTAAATATATGATGTGGTGTATTAGTATATTAGCTGTCTGATGATTGTAAAATTCTAGTTGGATTTTGTTCTTTCATTTCTCACCTTTTCAGATTTGTTTTTTTACTATGGGAAAAGGAAAAGAAAATGCTTAATATTTTGAAGTGAGTCTAATATAAACATTTACTGTTAGACTTAACAATATAAAGAGTACGTTAAGCCTGGGAAATGGATCGTTGTCTGCACTGTTCTATAATACAAATAAAAGTGAACTATGTATCCAAAAATAGAAATCATATAGGAGTCATATCCATTTGAAAAAAAATTGCTTTTGAAAAGATACCTTGGTTTTTCATTGGCCTCAGTGAGTTTTTAACAAATGATTAAGAAAAAAAAAATTGTTCATGTAATGAGAACCTTTAAACATTTCATGTGCTTTAGCAGGACGTTTTTTGCTTAATTAATCTTTGCCCATTTCGCCCACCCTTTCTGGTTAGTACATTACTCAGAGAAGTACTGCAAAACAATAAGTCAAATACATCCTGCTGTGGGTGGCTTTGTCCACTTCTTCATGGTAGCTCTCCCAGATCAGAATCTTGTAAGGAAACACTGAAAGCCTTCCCTGTTGACGCACTTCAAACAAAAGGAGGGTTTTAGCAGACAGCGTGAAGTGTTCATCCTATTGCAGGTTGTTTGGTTAAAGCTTAGCTTCTTCCCAGTTCACATCAACCAGGCAGAATTTTGTTCTACTTTTTATAAAACAAATATTACAGCTCATGCATTTTATCTATTGTAGACGTTAGGACATACCTCAAATCTAAATAAATATGTAAGTAGGTAATATATAAAGTAGATTAGCATAGGAGGAAATTGAGGAGGGGAGTGGAAGTTCCATAACTTGCAGAATGGGGAAGTTTTTGTGTTGTTTTCTTTTACATATAGATATTCAAAGCAACCAGACCTCACAGAATACTTCAGAAACTGTAAAGTACAAAAATAACTTATACAAGATCATCTTGAAGAGGCTGACTTGGTACCAGGCTTTGGATGAGTGCGTGAAAAATAGCATGCAGCTGGTGAGCATCACAGACCCTTACCAACAGGCGTTCCTCACCGTGCAGGCGGCCCAGCACAACTCCTCCTTGTGGATCGGACTCTCCAGTCAGGATGTAAGTTTCCAGTTCTAACTGCCTCAACTTGGTGATAGAATGTGACCATTTTTATTGCAGAGAGCATCCCTCTCATGAGACCAAAAAGAGAGAGAGAGAGAGATCTTTTTAGAATATTTATTTGATTTATTTGTTTGTTTTTATTTTGAAGATATAGAGTGGCAGAGAGACACAAAGCTATTCACTGTCCAAATGCCCTCAGCAGCTGGGGGTTGGGCTAAGCCAACGCCAAGGCTTTGGGACTCCATCTGGGTCTATGTGGTTGTCAGGGACCCACATATTTGAGCCATCACCTGCTGCCTTTTCTTGTGCACATTAGCAGGAAACTGGATGGGAAGCAGAGGAGCCGGGATTCGAACAAGGCACTTTGGTATCCAATATGAGTATCCCCAGCAGTGCACTAATCACTGCACTGAATTTATCAAAGCTAGAGGCTTAAAATCTTACTCTAGGGGGCCAGCATTGTGACATAGAGGATAAAACCACTAGCTATAACACCACCTTCCCACATGGGTGCAGGTTCGAATCCCAGCTGCTTTACAGCCCATCTAGCTCCCAGATAATACACCTGGGAAATCAGCAGAGGATGGCCCAAGTACTTGGGCTGCTTCTCCAAGGGCATGACTTTGAAGAAGCACACAGCTCCTCTTTCAATCTGGCTCTTGTGCCACTTGGGAAGTGAACCAGCAGATGAAAAATTCTCTCTCGCATATACACTCTGTGTGTCGACTCATCTTTCTTCTCCTCATTCTGCTTTTCAAGAAATAAACAAAACTTTAAAAAGTCTTGCTCCAAAGAATTTCATAGAATATACTGTTGAAAGATCTGCTTTGTTGTTTACATAAAGAAAAATTTGTGGAGGATTTACATTTTTGGGTGCATTTTTAATTTATTCTAATCAAAGCTAATGAAGCTAAAATCAGGAGTACCATATCCTCCAGCAGACTGAAAATGAGAAGACTATCAGATGAGGTCGGCCATGTGAAAGCATTGTAGATATTAAAGAATCCTTTCCATTCCTTTCAAAGTCAGCACAGTGAAATTAAGCTACCCTAAAAAGGAATTCGAAAAGTGTTGCACCACATCTTGAGTTCTGACCCCAGGTAGATGTTCCTGGTACTTATTATTCCGCAAAGAATTCCTACCAGCAATGAATGCAAACCTTTTATTAATTCATAGCACTAGTCTATACACATGTAAATCAAACAGAAATAGTAGCACATCTGAAACTTGTGGCTGTAATTAAAGAGATTGATTGATTGATTGATAGTTAGATCGATAGAGCGAGCTGTCATTTTTTCTCTAGGAGGTGCCTCTGTTTCCAGCCACAGCATACTATGGGCTAGGGCTGTATGAGAAAATGTAATTGAAGACAATTTCATCCTGGCACAAACCCTGAGATAAAATGGGTACTACATACACGTTTTCCAAGGAAATATGAAGTAATACTCTGTGGTTTCTCTCCCGCCACTTAATGATTTTAGTCTTCCTTCTTCCTCTACTTTCAGTCTCCACCTAGGTTCTCTTTATTCCTTTCTCCCCTTATATATATCTCCATAAACTGCTTTAAGTCTTTGGAACATGAGAGAATATTTACAAAGAATACTTTACACCAAAAGTATTGGGAAGATGTTGAAAGATTTTAAACAGAAATGTGACCACGGGGCCCGGTATAGTAGCCTAGTGGCTAAAGTCCTAGCCTTGCATGTACCACAGTGTTAGAGGAAGCAGGTGGAAATGGGGAGAGCCATTATTTCAATGGAAACAGAAACTAGTGTTGACCTGAACTTGGGCCTATGTACAGTGAATACAGTGCCGAAGTTCAAGGTTGTACGAAGTCCAGAGAGTGACTGTGGCAGTGAGAGGGTCAAGGATGCAGAGGGAAATGCAGAGAATCAGAGGAGGTCAGGAAGGCTTGTAGACTGGGGGAGTCCTCCACACAAACCCGTGTCAATCCAAGCGGAATGGTCAAGACTGCAAGACTCGGACATCTGCTTAGCAAATGTCACAGACAGGTAGGAGTCTGCTAGCCTGCAGTGATTGGAAGGGAGCAAACCTCATAGGGTACAGCTTAGGCAGGTGAAAATATCCACAAACCACTTCTTACAGCCTTTTGACATCTAAGAGTGAAAGAACAGTCTGCTCTTCTGGGTGCTGAATGTCAGTTGAAATTAAGGTCGAGCACCTTATTCAAGAGATATTTAGTTTTCGTGGAGAGATATCTTATTCAATAAAAAGATAGATTTGGTATGATTTACCTACAATGAAATGGAAGTTTCAGAGTTTCAGGGATGGGATTGGTGGAGAAAGTAGCAAAGAGAAGGAATCCAGGGGTGCAGACAAGAATGCAGGCAAAATCACATTCTCCCAAGGGTCGCATTTGAGATAAAGTAGTTGGGGATTACCTGGTCCAAGATTACAAGTGTAGCTCTGGTTGAGCACATTTAGAATGAAGCGGCTCGTAGTATTGAGGCTTGACCTTATTTGCTGCTTAGGGTTCACTAAGGATCCTGGGAAGAGCCTTCATGCCATTCTCTAAGATAGCTGGTAGCACAGGGCGCCTTCAACCTCAGGAAAGCAGAAATCTCTGAGCCAATTAGACCGTCACTGTAGGACAGGCCTGCTGCCCTCCTGGCACAGTGAGAGAAGCTCAAACAGGCCTGGACCCCACAGTCCTTTCCCCAGATTTGTGACCCATCTCTGTAATCCTATCTTAAGATAACTGGATGGTCAGATCTTTGTTGGCATGAAAAGATGGATGTTTCCAGACTTCGTGCACCCTACAGCATAATGAATGTGAGAACAGCAATGTGGGATCTGCCAGGCTGGAGGCATGAAGAAGAGAGAAGCCTGTATTCATGTAGCTGTGTGCACTGTTCAACCCCTGCATTATGCATTCCACACATGTTGTTGTTATTCCAGCTCCTTCAGGTTAATTGTATGCCCATTGGATAGATGAAGGGATGGAAAATTAAAGAGGTAGCTCACAGATTAAAAGCTGGTAAGGAATTTGAACCAGGATTCTAAATCAGGTATGCTTGGCCCTCAAAGCCTGTGTCCTCTCCTCTCTGTCTCCATCAGCACATGCAGTAGTCCTCATGCCACTTGGCTTGGTGGCTTCCAGCTCTCAGCAGTTCCAGTCAAGTGTGAGGCAGCGTAGCACAATGGTTAAAGTCATAGGCTCTGTATTGCAGTCCAGTCATTGGATTTCTATTCTGTGTGACTGTACACACATTGTGTGTCTTGAGTTTCTACCCCTGTAGAATGAAGAGATTAGTAGTATCCCTTTCATGTGGTTGTAATAGACATGGTAAATTCTTATGAGGAAAGCACTTGGAATGGTATCTGATAGTACATGCTGTGGAGAAAGTATGTTGCATAAAAAATTAAGTTACAGATCTTTAGATTGCTCATGAGGGTCAAACTGATACAAAATGGATAGATGAAGTTTGCCACTTGGGATATATTTCTGCCCCTTACAGGATGAACTCAACTTTGGTTGGTCAGATGGAAGACGTCTTGAATTTACTCGCTGGGATGAAAACCACCACCATCTTGAAGACTGCGTGTTTTTAGAAATGAATGGATTCTGGAAAACGGCTGATTGCGAAACCAGCCAGCCGGGTGCTATTTGCTACTATCCAGGAAGTATGGGGATTTTAAATATTGATTTCTTAAATCAGCAACTCGCAAGTAGTAGAATAGGAGGGAGTGGTTTTGTAAAATCTGGTTTTAGAATTGTGAGGAAATTACACTAGTGTCTCTTTTGCAAAATATGTTGCAAAAATTTGTATTCTAGTAGAAATGTTATATTTTAAGTGTATTGGCATTAATTTTTATTTTGAATATGTCATATTTTTATATCAGCTGACAACAGATTGACACGTAAAATTATTGGAAAGTCATATTTGCAGAGAGATGGAGAGACAAAGATCTTCCATTTGCTGGTTCACTCCCCAAGTGGCCGCAATGGCCAGAGCTGAGCTGATCCAAAGCCAGAAGCCCAGAGCCTCTTCCAGGTGTCCCAAATGGCTACAGTGTCCCAAGACTTTGGGATGTCCTTGACTGCTTTCCCAGGCCACAAGCAGGGAGCTGGATGGGAAGTGGAGCAGCTGGGATATGAACAGGTGCTTGCAAGGCAAGGACTTTAGCCATTACGCTACTGTACCTGGCCCCATAGATTTTATTCTTTTCTTTTTTTTTTTTTTTTTTTTGAAAGATTTACAAAGAGGAGAAACAGAGAGAGAGATCCTTCATCTGCTTTTTCTCTCCCCAAATGCTGCAGTGGCTAGAAGCTGAGCTGATCTGAAGGTAGGAATCAGGATAGAGGGGCCTGAAGCATCTTCCTTCTGCTTTTTTCCCAGACCACAAGCAGGGAGCTGGAAGGAAAGTGGAGCAGCCAGAACTGGTACCTAATGTAATGCTGGCACTTCAGGCAAAGGATTAACATGCCATGGCACCCACCCCTTCCATAGATCTTAACATTAGCAGCTAACATTATTTCTATGAGCCATTGTTAAGATTCACTTGCTTTCAAATAACAGCAACAGGCTTATGCTAGCATAAGCCTAAAGGAAGATGGGGTACCCCAATGTGGGGAAACAGTAAAGCCTCTTGAAAAATAAAAATTGGGGATCCAGAGACACTGTCCTCTGCTTGTCACTGTGTTCCCCTTCACTGCACAAAATGGAATATGGTGGCTCTGCAGCTTTAACAGCAGCTGCAGCTGAAGGTGTATAGTCTGTGTTTGAATAATCTTTGCATATTCTTGGAGACAGCTGGATGGACTCAGCCTGAATGAGGTCTGCAGTTTATAGCCCAATCAGAGGAAAGTGATTTCACATCTACCAGGGGCCAGCTTTACACCTTTGTGCTAGCAAGTCAATACCCCTGGGGCTGGCGGGAGGCTAATTCTCTGCCCTGTGTTGCAGATGCCCTATATGGGCATCACTTTCTGTCCCAGCTGCTTCACTTCCTGATCCTGCTCCCTGCGTTTGGCCTGGAAAAGCAGCAGAGGGTGACCCAAAGCCTTGGAACCCTGCACCTGCCTGGAAGACCCGGAAGAACCACCTGGAACCTCCTGGCTTTGAATTGGCTCAGCTCTGGCCATTGTGGCCCTTTGGGCAATGAACCAATGGATGGAACATCTCTCTATCAGGCTTTCCTTCTCTCCTCTAAAATCTACCTTTTAAGAAAAATTAAAAGAAAGTCAACACTACTTCCCAAAGAGGTTTCTTGTGCTGCGAGAAGCACTGGTGATCCTGCCTCACATTCAGTCAGTTGGATCTACACTGAGCATTGCTTCTCTATCATCATATATCTGCGTCATCTTGAATGCATGGGCTTTCTGTAAAATAAAATATATCGGATTTTTTAGATGCCACATTTTACACAATATTCTTAGCTGATTTGATTAAAGTAATAACTTTCTTGCGATATCTGCAGTCATTAAAATGATCCTTTAAAATGAAAGATGTCGGGCCCGGAGCGGTGGCGCAAGTGGTTAAAGGTCCTCGCCTAGCACGCCCGGGATCCCATATGGGCGCCGGTTCTAATCCCGGCAGCCCCGCTTCCCTTCCAGCTCCCTGCCTGTGGCCTGGGAAAGCAGTCGAGGACGGCCCAAAAGCTTTGGGAACCTGCACCCGCGTGGGAGACCCAGAAGAGGCTCCTGGCTTCGGATCGGCATAGTATCGGCCCGTTGCGCTCACTTGGGGAGTGAATCATCGGACGGAAGATCTTTCTCTCTGTCTCTCCTCTCTCTGTATATCCGCCTTTCCAATGAAAAAATAATAAAAATAAATCTTTAAAAAAAAAATAAAATGAAAGATGTCAGTAAGCAGAATCTTGAAAATCAATTTCCAAAATGAGACTTAGTGCCTTTTATTAATTTGTGTGTTCAGCACAGTTTCCATGAAATGGTCCTTTGTACTTGACCTTTGGCAATGCGGGAGACAGAAACAACCTTTAACCTAGTCCCACTTCATTTCTTACTCTCCTTCATTTCACAGGAGGGGGTAATAAATTGTGTCATGTATTTTCTTTCCTGCAGAATGTCAGCTTTCTTTTGCTGTATTTGTATATACATAAAGAATACACGGGCCCGGCGCGGTGGCGCAAGTGGTTAAAGGTCCTCGCCTAGCATGCCCGGGATCCCATATGGGCGCCGGGTTCTAATCCCGGCAGCCCCGCTTCCCTTCCAGCTCCCTGCCTGTGGCCTGGGAAAGCAGCAGAGGACAGCCCAAAGCATTGGGAACCTGCACCCGCGTGGGAGACCCGGAAGAGGCTCCTGGCTTCGGATCGGCATAGTATCGGCCCGTTGCGCTCACTTGGGGAGTGAACCATCGGACGGAAGATCTTCCTCTCTGTCTCTCCTCTCTGTATATCCGCCTTTCCAATGAAAAAATAATAATAATAATAATAAAAATAAATCTTTAAAAAAAAAAAGAATACACATCACCATGCTTCCTGAATAGTTCTTACAGATCAAATCTAATGACTGGGAATAGCATTTAATCCTTCTCATCACCCTTTTTCTAGATGACACTAAAAAAGAAATCAAACCGGTTGCAAATGTTGAATGTCCGTCTCCTGTTCTAAGTACTCCATGGATACCCTTTCAGAACTGTTGCTACAATTTCATGATAACAAAGAATAGACACATGGCAACAACACCGGAAGAAGCTCATTCTAAATGCCAGCAATTGAGTAAGTTATTTTTTACTACCATTGATGCCATGGGTTATAAATATTCCTAATTAGCACAAGTAACTAGATATTAGAAATATCTATCTTCTAATTTCTACATCATCAATGACCAAGTATTACAATGTCTAGTCGAAGTGGAATGCGGAAGAGTGGTCTATTTACTCATCTACTGAAAAACTAGAATGTCTTTATACATGTAAGCAGCATGGTTCTCCTTCCAAAGGAAAGGAAATGAAATTAGAGACCAGAAATCTGGATGTCAAATCAGGCAGAGCTGCAAGAGAAGTGACAATAGTTTCGTTTGAGTGGTCAGGATCTTAGGTACACTGCGGAGAGGCAGCTGTGCTTAAATGCATGTTTCACACAGTTCCCAGGAATCTTCATGTATTTCCCAGGAAATTCAGTAAGGATTTGTGACTGCTGAATGACTGATGCAATAGTGACCTTAGTGGAGAGTTCCTTAGAAAATATCAAACCATTATTGTTCAAAGTACACACTTTATAATACTTGTGTTTAGAGATATTCTGGAAGAAAAAAAAATTTAGAAACAAAGCAAGTTTGAGATACACTTCACACCATAGCCTCCTATTGAACACTACCCAGTGGACATTGACCTATATGTACTTCCAGCAATATTGGCATTAGTGAACTACTTTGCTTTTGCTTAAACCATTGTTTGCAAACTCCTTATCCATATATGTGTTTTCTGATGCACCATCTATTTATTTCTGGAGAAACAAACTGTAGAACCCCCAAAATAATAATGATCTCTAAGAAAATTATACCATCCAAGACATACTTATTATACCATAGTCTCTGGAGAATATATCATTAACACGGCTGGATTTGTATAAACTGAAAGGATCTTTAATTTAGGAGGGCAGGATAGTGAAGTGAATCAGTATTTTAAATTTTCTTCCCAGCTATGAGTTTTCTATTATATTCGAAAATCAAATTTAACACAAAATATTTGAAAACTTCTTAACTCATTTATTTTGATATAATGAGATACTTTGAATTTATGTCTTCCTTTCTGTTATTTTTAGATTTTAGACTAAATTGAGAAATACCATTTTTAAAACCTGTCAAACTAAATAAAATATACTTAATGATTATTAAATTTTTCAACTATTTTTGTATGACAGGTCCAAAATCACATATGCTAAGCATTCGAGATGAAGAGGAGAATAACTTTGTTCTTGAGCAGCTTCTGCGCCTCCATTATATGGCTTCTTGGGTCCTGTTAGGGTTAACATATGAAGGTGAGTCAGACATTGCCAGTGTTTTCTGCTTATATTCAAACTTCCTTCTAACTAGTTATCAAGTCACAAAAGTATATTTCTTCAAAGGATATGTTTGCCAGTAAACAGAAGTGTAATTCTGTGCTTAGCATACTATAAATAGTAATATGAATTTTGCATCTCTTCTCTGCCACTGATATGTCTTACTATCAAGCTTACAGTAAAATAGTGGGAAATAATTTGTTTCTGCACTGTTTCCTCTAACAACCCCTAAACTAAAATGAGCAAAACAACAAAACAAAACGAAACTCCAAAGCTTCATCTTTTGCATGTGAACTACAGTTTTCCAGTGACACTTGTTGAGCAGGGCTGTTTTTTCCACATTGTGCTGTCATTGTGATCTTCCTAAAAAATCGGCTGACTGACGCCTGCACCATAGCTCAACAGATTAATTCTCTACCCTGTGATACCAGCATCCCAAATGGGCAGCTGCTCCACTTCCAATCCAGCTCTCTGCTTATTGTCTGGGAAAGCAGCAGGTGGCCCAAGGCCTTAAGAACCTGTACCCACATGGAAGAATTGGAAGAAGCTTCCGCCTTCCAGTTTTGAGTCAGCTCAGCTGTGGCCATCACAGCCATTTGAGGAGCGAAACAGCAGATTTCTCTATGTAAATCTGCCTTTCAAATAAGAAAATACATAAATCTTTCAAAAGAAAAACACTGGCTGACCATAGGGCTGGCTGTAGTGTGGTGCGCAAAGCCTTTTCCTGTAATGCAGCCATCCCATGAGAGTGCTGGTTCAAGTCTCAGTTCCAACCCAGCTCACTGCTGGTAACCTGGAAAAAGCAGGAGAAGAAAGGCCGAGTCTTTAGGCCCCTGCTGCCCACCTGCAGACCCCGAAGAGCACACTGGCTCCTGGCTTCTGTCTGGCCTACCGCTGGCTCTGGCAGCCATCTGGGGAGTAGACCAGCAGATGGGAGATCTCTGTCTCTTATCTCTCTCTGTCTCTCAACCTCTCTCTTTCTGATAACTCTTCCAAATGAATACATAAATCTTTTAAAAATTGATTGATCATGGGTATGGATAGCCGTGTATATTTTAGATCCAAAGAGATTTCTGTTACCAATTTTGTGATATACCAACTTTTAATAAAAGTTATGTTTGTTTCAGTTTCCAATTAAATATATATTAAGAGAAATATAAATTTAATGAAAACCAATAAAATGTTGTTATTGAATAATGGTGTAATTAAGTGTTCATTTAATTTGTATTTTCCAAATAAAATAAGCATAGTTTACTATTGTAATAAAAATTATTTTAAAGGTATATGTATATATAACATGTGTGTATGTATAAATAAAAGCAAGCAACCTTTGAGAAGGTATGGAAAAGAGAGAAAACTAGTCAAGTTTGGAATATTAACATCAGAACTGTAATTCAAGCCTTAATTGAACCTCTAAGCATAGAAAAAAATGTGTCTTTAGGTAATTCTCTTACGTGGTTTGACAAGACTGCATTGTCGTATACACACTGGAGAGGGGGAAGACCAGCCGTACAAAATGGCAAGTTTTGGGCTGGCTTGAATACCGATGGCTTCTGGGATATTCAACCCTTTAACATGGAAGAAACACTTTATTTTCAACAACACAGCATTGTTGTTTGTAAGATTGAAATGGGTAAGTATGCTAAGGAAGATTTTTTTCACTCCAGGGAAAGAGATTGTAAGGGCATTAGCTCCACCAGTGAGAGAGAGAGAGAGAGAGAGAGAGAGAGAGAGAGAGAGAGAATTGTTGTTCTCAGTTTGTTGAGCTGCTGGAGCAGTCACTGAGGAAGGAGCAGACTGGTAGCTCATGCCATGGTCATGGCCCCAAGAAGCAAACCACATTTAGAGAGGTTTAAAGTCTTGTTTTACATAGGTTAGTTTTAGAATACTGGATACAGACCTCATTCTGCGGAAGTTACAAGAGACCAATGATATAACAAATAATGGCGTGATGAGGACATGCAATGCCTTCAGGACGAGTGACACCTTGCCTAGTCCTTAAATACATCTAGTTCACAATGCGTGTTAGTTTCTAAGCTGTTAATAACTTGGAATAGCTCATCTGTGCAGTCCCTCTGTTCATGGACCCCATCGCAGTGGCATCCAGGCTGATGGTCTCCCTTCGCAAGGCTACAAAATAACCTCTCCAACACGTTTTCCATCAACCATCTCCAGAAATTCCCCATGACCCGTTTCTTTGAATCCATGCAACATTTGAGAATTTTTAGGGACCAGTCTCTGTCCCTAGCTCCTCCCAGTCCCATTCCTCCGTTAACCCTACCCTAGTTCCTAACATGGCCCCTCAGGCTCAGCCAACCTAAAGACTAATCCTTCCCTGCCTCTTCCCCCGGGGGAGGACATCTACATACAGTCACTCAGCTTCTCTGCAGTGACATTTATCTACTCTCTCACATTTTAAAGTACATTGTCTTTTATTTGCATCTTCCTCATTGTGGCTTTCTTATTTCTGTGTTTTCAGTATTTCCTTACTTTCTGGTTATGTCACTTTTTTCTAAATTTCACCTAACTCTCTTGATTCATTTTTTAGATATATGTGTTGGATGATAAACCAACATACTGCAAATTATCTACTATTTTGCTGAAGTTGTTCCACCTTTGGCCATTGGGAGCTATCTCCCTTGGCTCCTGTGTTCTTTTGTGAAACACGCATCCTTGTAGTTCTTGTTGCCTTTAGGCTTTTCTTACTTTCTTTTATTTCTTTATAGTCTTAATTTCACATAACCCTATATTTTGGTTTATCAAGCAGGCTTCCTGACTCCTGTGTTGCAGATGAGTCTCTACTCAGACTTATATATGTTAGTGTTATTAGTTTTGTCATCATTTAGATGTGGTCATTGCTTTCACTGTGTGAGCTTCTTCGGTGGAGGACTGTGTTTATGCCTTTTAGAAGCAACCACATAACTGTAATATTTAAAAGCCTTATTACATGTGCCATGGCAATCATAAAAGAAAACTGTATACTCCCTTGATAAGAAATCCAGCTTTATTTGGCTTTTGAAATAGAAAGTGTCTACTTATCCTAGATATGTGTTTGAAATTAATCACTAACACTTTTAATTTGCATGTTATAGTCGACTACAAGGAAGAATATAATACCACACTGCCAGAGTTTATTCCATATGAAGATAATATTTATAATGTTATTCAAAGAAGGGTAACGTGGTATGAAGCATTAAAGGCATGTTCTGAAGGCAGAGGTCAGTTGGCAAGTGTCCATGATCAAAACGGCCAGCTCTTCTTGGAAGATATTGCAAAACGTGATGGCTTTCCACTGTGGGTTGGGCTGTCAAGTCATGATGTAAGTTTTGCTTTGTTTTGTAAAAATTTCTCAAATCTGAAATGCAAGGTAACAGAGTTAGCAATCGGAGTATAAAGTATTAACTTATTGTGCAATATTACATTAAGTCCTAAATCTCAATTTGCATAACATGATGCTTTTATACCTTTTATAACATAGAAGACATTAACAACTAAATTTGTAGAGTGCATGAGGGCAAATGCCTGGGCTACTGCATACCAGTGGTTTAATATTTCAACAACATCTCTATAATCACCCAGAAAATAGCAAGAATCAGAAAATCCTGAGGAGTAACAGCAGGTCTCCCATTGACTTGCTTGGTGATCATGATAAAGTGATTAACCTTTGCAACCTTGCTTCCTCTCCTGTAAAATCAGGCAACAGTATTTTTGTTGATATTTTAACACAGAATTTTATACGAAATGCCAAATGAAATTTTAACAAGTTTAAATTCATGAATGCATAAACTTTTCCACTTTTACTTTAGGAATTAGCATTATTTAAAATTAGTCTTCTGGTAAACACATCTTTTGTTATTACTTAAATCTCATTAATTAGTAAATGTGTCTATTTCTAATAGCACTGGGCATAAGAAATTATCTTTTGAAATTAGAGTTTCAGACTTAAAGAATTTTAAAGAATTTTAAAGACAAAGTGTGGAAAGTAGACAAAAGGAAGGATGGTAAGAATCTTCTCCTTTTCAGTATTGCTGCATGGCCTCTGTTACATGAAAAATACAGCCAGACACACACCGTAAAGCTATAAAACACGGGAGGCAACATTCAGAACACTGTGGAAGTCGGAACTGTAATTGTGACAAATGGAAGCTACTTGCCTGTCATTTAATTTCAAGTGTTACATAAACTCATGCTTTAAAAAATTGACTCTAAGGACAGACGATAGTAATTCTGTCACTAAGTTTAAAGTCTACTTAATTATGGCAGAGCAAATGTCTCAGATCGGTACATCCAAAATAAATTTCTTGCTTTACCAAGAAGAGATCCATACCTGCAATACTTGCAACCAAATAAAATTAATGCTGTATTCTAATAATATTCGAAGTATGCGTATTGTTTCCTGTGTTCCTTTTGAAGTATACAGCTGGGTTCAGGTTATCTCTTTGTCAACACAGGGCAGTGAAGCCAGTTTTGAATGGTCTGATGGCAGTGCATTTGACTACATCCCATGGAAAGGGGAAAAAGGTCCTGGGGACTGCGTTGTCTTGGATCCCAAAGGAAATTGGAAGCATGAAAAGTGCAGCTCTTCCATGGATGGAGCTATTTGTTATAAATCTACCAAATGTAAGCTTTCATTTCCAATAAATGTATTTACTAAAATAAGATATAACAGATGCACAGGGTTAATACTTACTAAAATTTTCATTAGAGTTTAGTTTATTGATATATTGTAGAAATATAATTTTGATGTTTGGTGAATAGAAACAAATATAGTATGTCCACTCAGGCAATTTGTTCCCAAAATCTTTCACTTATTCTATCACCAAATAAATTTTACTCTAGAATTTTTCAATTCTAATTTCCCTTCACAATGTTTTTCAAAAAAGGTGCTCTCTTTAAAATTCATCTTTAAGGTAGACTGAGAAAGATAGATAGTAGAAAACAATATAGCAATCTTAACAGAAATTTAACATTACTAACGTGATCCTGGAATTCCACTTGTAGGTAAATATTCCAAGGCATTGAATGCAGATACTCAAATAGATACTTGTACAATCATGTTCATAGTAGCATAATTCATAATAGCTAAAACAAGGAAGCAAGCCAGGTGTTGGAAGTTACCAAGGATTAGAGGAAGAAGGTGTGGCAAGTTATGATTTAACAGGTTCAAAGTTTCAGTTTTGAAAGACGAAAACCTCTGGAGACAGATGGGGGTGATTAATGCATATGAATGTATTTAATGCCACTGAATTGCACACTTAAAAGTAACAACGATGAAAAAGTTTACCACAATGTAAAAACTGGCAGGACAGTAGGTTAAACTGCCTCTTGCAATGCCATAATCCCATATTGGACCACCAGTTTGAGTTCCGATTTTTCTACCTCTCATCCAGCTTCCTGCTCTTCTGGGAAACTGGCAGGTGATTGCCCAACTACGAAGGCCTCTGCCACTCATGAGGCACCTGTGAGTGGAGTACCCAGCATCAACTTAGCCCCGTCCCAGTTGTTGTGACCATTTACGGGGAGTGAATCAGCAGATGGAAGATTTTGTTTCTGTGTGTTATTCCACCTTTCAAACAAAAAATAACTTTGTGGGGATTTTGCAAAACAAATTAACACTAACAGTTTCTAATATGTCTAGTTGAACTTAATTTTTATCAAAACATAATCCAAAACTAATTTACATTATTATTTCAGAATAATTTCAGGTTTGCCCAACCTGATTTTGCTTCCCTCCCCATCTCTCAGTAGCTGTTTTTACTTTAGTCTGCAAACCGCCTCATCTTCAGAACAGCATTCTAACATGTGGAAGGAGATATGTATTCAGAGAGCGTAGGCTATGGCCTTCTCTGGTTGTGTAGTGAATTCAATGCTTTTCACCCACACAAGCAAGAGTTTCACATAAGGATAGCTCTTGAGGTTTGGAAAGGCAGTCATTTTTTTTCTATACATCTTGATTGTGTCTAACTTTTTGTAGTGAAAGAGCTGACCTCTTATTCACACTCATCAAGATGTCCTGAAGCAAAAGAAAATGGGACACAGTGGATCCAGTACAAGGGTCACTGTTACGCCTCGAACCAGGCACTGCACAGTTTCTCAGAAGCCAAATACCTGTGTTCAGAACTCGGTGAGTTAAAACTCGGATTTCTTTTAAACTCAGTGATTTAGTCCTTAAAAAGGTTTCTTAAGGAAATAATTTGAAATAATGATTATAGTTCTGAAAATATCTTCAAAGCACTTACCTTGTATAATGGTTTTACAATATAATTTCCCAGTGGTAATTGCCCACTGTAGTAATAGTTAAGTATTTTACGGTGCAGAAACTCAGTGGCATTTTGGAATAAAATTACAAGTTATCACTGTAAGAAACAGTACACGGAAAATGAAAGGAGGAAGAAGTGTAATAAAAGATGCTAGGTGAACTGTTAAACTGTTAAGCAAAAATACCGACAAGCAAATTGAAATAATTTTAAATATAGCTTAAATGGAGAGGTAACATCCTATCAAGTTGGCTAAGTGGTATAAATAAAATTCAATTTTTTGGAAAATTATTATTTTGAGGAAATACTTTTAAATTTTGGACATAAATACCAGTTTTTAAGAAGCAGACTCTAATGCTTGACATTCTCAATAATCTGTTCATGATAACTTTTTTCCAAACAGCTCATTCAGAATAAATAACTTTCCTAGTTTGCATAAAACTAATTAGTTGGAGGTTTGTTTTCTTTCAACAGATCATTCCTCAACGATTGTGACCATAAAGGATGAAGATGAGAATCAATTTGTGAGCCAACTGATGAGGGAAAATAATAATATTACCATGAGAGTTTGGCTTGGTTTATCTCAACATTCTTTCGGTAAGTGACAACTTGAGGGTATGCTCCGTGCAAAGAGAGTTCAAGCTTATCCTAACTACCAAGCCAGTCTTACTGAAACATGCCAAGTGGTTGATAAATAAGCCAACTGTGCCAGCTACACTAGAAGTCTATCAATCTTAAGTGAATTCATAACTTCCACTTAGTGATGATAGGGAACAGTAATGAAATAGAAAAGTTAATTTCTGGAGGTTTATTTCCAAGATCTATGAATCAACTTCAGGATTCTTTTCCTTTTCCAGCAATGTCTAGCTGGCTGTTTATCCACAAGAAACCCAGGGTTGACTTCCCCACGATTCTGATGACTGTTAGAATCTTATCCTCTTATCATTCCTTTCTCAGAATATATTTTGGCACAGAGAAAATCCAGATCTTAATAGAAAGTTTTTACGAACAGGTTTAGTAAAAGTGTAGCCGATTAATTCAAAGGGAATTTGTGGGAGAATTTTTCAACAAGCAATAAAAGATATTTAGCTGAACTTGGGAATTGATAAAGAGGTCATTGAACGTATTCTATGTGTTACACAAAATTGAACTTGAAATAGTTGAACTAAATTTCAATATGATGTATATGTCACAAAAAAATGAGTGTTGAGATTTGATCAAAATGAGGTATGAATTGTGTTTATGCTGTCACCACAAGGTGGTGCCATCTCAGCCATAAAGCAGAAATGCAGCCGTAGATGAATGGGGCTACTCTCCTTGGCCACTCTAGATCCGGCTTCTTCCCACCACTTATCTAATTATACCAATTGGTTCTTTTGTCCCTTGGGGCTGGTGCTGTGGCATAGTGGATTAAGCCTCTGTCTGCTGAATCAGCATCCCATGTGGGCCACAGTTTGAATCCCAGCTGCTTCTCTCATGATCCAGCTCCCTCTTGATGTTCCTGGGAAAATAGCAGAGGATGGATGGTCCAAGTCTTAGGGCGCCTGAACCCACATGGGAAACCTGGAAGATGCTTTAGGCTCCTGCCTTTGGCCTAATGCAGCTTGGGTCATTTGGGGAGTGAGGCAGTGAATGGAAGATCTCTCTCCTCTGTCTCTCCTCTCCCCGTAAAATCTGCATTTCAAATGAAAATATGTAAATCTTAAAACACAAGGACATACATACCAATTCCTCAGCTCATAAACACCCACACCATTCTCACTTGAATTGTGATACCACATTCTTTATTAGTGCTGTCCAACAAAAGCTTGCACCAAGTCAGAAACCATCTGTACCTGCCCTGTCCGGCTTGATCATGACTGGCCACAGGCAACTCCCGACCACTTAGCATTAATGGTTGTGACTGAAGAACAGAACACTGATTTTAAATTGTTTTCCACTTTTGAGAGATTTCATTTTGGATCGTGGCTATTGCACTGGACAGCACAGATCTAAGTCAAATTGGTGACATGCACTATACTTTAAATGTATTACTTTAGTGGCAGTAAATATAGATGTATTTATTTGGTTTATTCAGATCAATCCTGGAGTTGGTTGGATGGCTCAAAAGTGACATTTGTCAAGTGGGAGAATAAAAGTAGCAGTGACAAAAGTAACAGTGACGGTGGGAAATGCAGCGTTTTGTTAGCTTCAACTGAAACTTGGAAAAAAGTTGACTGTTCTCATGGCTATGGAAGAGTTGTCTGCCAAGTGCCTCTGAGTAAGTATATAACCTGACTGAAAGGAAATTTCTAGAAGAACAGGTCAGGAAATGTACAGCCCAGTTATGTGCAGAGTTCTATAGTTGGCCCTGAACCTTTTACTTCTAAAAGTATATCCATATGCCTTCATTAAGTCAGAGATTCTTCCTGTTAAAACAAACAAAAAAGATCGCAAAAGCTGGCAAATGCACAAGACATCTAAAGCTCCAACATGAAACAGTTCAACAGCCTAAACTTTACATATTTCTTTGCTAAGAAAACTGGAAGCTGCCTGGGTGTCAAGGAGGTAACTTTTAAAAAATGTTTTAAAGATGTATTTTATTTTATAGTTTGAATATGTAAAAGCTAACATGTCTATTTCTGTAGCTAGTTTGCCTCCCTTCTTACCATTCTCATAAAACTCAAAGTTAATTTTAAAGCAATACAAAACCTTACTTAAAATGTGCAGGGTTAATATAGGAAATTATAATTTACTTGAGTTTCTGTTTCATTATGAATTGTTAGATACACTAGTCCTAAAAATACCCTAGCCTAATTTCCGGAGACAGCTCTAACTTCTCTTCCAGATATATTGTAAAAGATGCAGCATGAAAATGTCCACTTTGGAATGTAAACGTTAAAGACAAAACCCTAGCTCTTGGAGCATGTGTTTGGTGCAACAGTCACAACATGCTTGGGACGCCAGCATCTCCAATCAGAATAGCTAGTTCTCGTCTTCCTGTCCAGCTTTCTGCTACCGGGCAGCCAGGAAGGCAGCAGACCACGACTCAGGAACTTGCCTCCCTTACTCCTTCCGTGTACATCCAGGAAGGGTTTAATATGCTAGGTTTCCCTGTCATAGATTGTGCCTTCCAGAAATGCTGAGGTAGGTTTCCCGTTTCTTACCTGGGATGTGTTTTGCCCAGCACCTCCAGACACTCACCTGCAGGACCTTAATAAAGTTTCTCACCTTGTCAGTGTTCAGGTTTGTCTGATCACCCCAAGTAGCATGACTGATCTGCTGTCTAAATTCCTTGTGATTTAAAAAAAAAGAACAACTTCTCTTGGCTACAAGTGAAGCTTTCCTTCCTTTTGTTTGTTTCGTTGTTGACTGTGTGTATTTTCTTCATTGCTGGGGACTAACCCAAATGTGTCTGTTCTGTAGTCCAGTTAGAGGTTAATTTAGAGGAAGGGAATATTGTATGTGAAATTCAGCTTGGGCTGTTCCCTAAATGCAAGATAAGGCCATGTGTACTATTTTCCCCAAAACTAGAATGTATGAATGCTTGTTTAAGAATTTTGAAACACCATGGTCAAAATCAGAAGCTATATTTTGCAGATTTGAACTCAATCATTCACTCAGAACCTGTTTGTCTCCTGGGTATATTTATCAAAATAATTTGATCCTAAGAAGTACAAAATAAAAAATTTGTGATCTATGTAATTTATGTTTAAATTTCATTGTAAATTTCTTGGGAAATGCATCACAGTTATAATGAATTTTTTTGCACCGGTGAACAATAAAAATTGCTATTAACAAAAAAAAAAAGAAGAAGAAGACCTGGATTGAGTCCCAAGTTACTGGCTTTGACCTGGTCTGCCATGGCTTTTACAGGCATTACATTTATCAAACCAATGGCTATAGCTCTCTGTCTAACCAATTCCAATAGTAAAAGTAAACAAATTTTAAAAATTTAACAATTGATATCTGTCAGGGTACTTCAAAAGATTCATGGAAAATGCATATTATGAAAAAAAATTGATACTTGGATTTTAAATTACTTTTTACACCGAGTAGGTTTACCTTTTAATTCATTTGTTCTATGGGTTTTCTTTTGCACTTTTATTTTTATTTATTCAAAGGCATAGAGAGACAAACACACAGAAGGAGGGAGCTCCCACCTGCTGGTTCACTTCTCAGATGGCTGCACTGGCCTGAGCAGGTGGCAGGAGCCCAAGTTATTTGAGCTACTGCTATTGCATTGGTAGAAAGCTGAAGTTGGGAACTGGAGCTGGGCACTGAATCCAGGTGCCGGGCTGACTGCTCAGCTGCTTCCGTGAGCTTCCAAACGTATTCCCAAATACATTTACTCAGCAACATTTAAAGTGTCTACTACATGTGACACCCTGTTCTGTATGCGCAGCTGCACCTGTAAACAAGACAGATAACATACTTGTTCTCAGATACATAATGGGGCAGGAACATTTAGGAACAGGAAAACATAGCTACAAACTATGTAAAAGACGAGGCGACTGACTACGTTATCAAGATGTCTGAGAGCAGAAGAAACATCAACCATGTGAGGGCCAGGGGCAGATTAGCAGTTGGAGCAGAGAGCCTGCAGGAAGAGCAGCAGGGTAGGCATCCACCAGCTAGCTATGTGTAGCTTTGAATGCAAAGCTCAAGAGTTCTGGTTCTCTTCTGAGTGGGATGGAAAACAACTGAACCAAGAAGGGGCTTGGAGGGGTGTATATCAAGAGCTCTCTTGACCATTTCGAGTGTCCATATGGTGATGAGAGTGCCATGTCAAAATGCCTGCTGTGCAGTTGGACGTGGTGAGAGAAGGCTGGTCAGCTCAGAGATGATTTTTTTTTTTAAATCACAGTACACCTGTGCCAAATGCAGAGAAATGGACTGGGTTGGTGCCTATATTTGAATGGCTAGGGATGAAATTAGGTTATCCTAGTGGCTGCAGTCACCTTAAGGCAAATAATATCCTGTTTGCTGCTAGATAAGTCAAGCACAGACCTTTACAGCTTTAAGCAATTTGTGACCAAGTCAGGAATAACATACAAAGAATGACTGTCCCAAAAGCACTTTGGAAAGGGCAACTGAAAGCATGAAAATGCTTCAATTTCTTTGGAAGACAATTCAGAAGGCAGCTAAGAGAATTGTAATGGAAAGGAAAACACTTTCGTTTGAAAAGAAATTGGTTTTTTTTAATGATGGTTTTGAAGCTATAAACAGTTTCCACAGTATCTAATGTGTACATAGCCTAAGTACATCTCGCAGCATCAGGTATGAAATGTGTAGCAATGACTGCTTCTGTGTTCTCTCTTCCGACTTCCCCTTGCCCATCCCAGGCTCTGACTACAAGGGCGTGGCCATCGGATTTGCCGTGCTCAGCGTCCTGGCACTCATCAGCGGACTGATTTGGTTCCTCTTCCAAAGAAACCGTTTCCAGTGGGCAGGTTTCTCATCAGTCCGGTACGAACAAGGAGTGAGTGAAGAGGAGATTGTCCTTCCTTCTTTCCAGGACTAAGTTGTTCTAAAAGTTTGTTAATTTGCACTAATGTATAAGGAAAAATGAACCACTCCAAGGTTTCCAGTGTCAGTATTTACTCTGCTCCAAAGTGAAAGTCTTAAATGCTTTACAGTGGTTCCGTTGCTGTGTTGGTATCCATGCTCAATACCATGTTTACAGCTCTACTTCAGAAAGATCTTGAAGCTAGAAATGAAGATCCAATGGTTTGTAGGGTTATGAGTTTAATGTTCAACTTTCCCGGGAGGATGTGGTTGGAAACTAGAATAATGTATGTAATGACATTTTCAGGTCATCTTAGAAATTTTTAAGAGGCATAATTACTCGGCAGCACATCTGCCTTTTAATGTTTAAGAACATCTGGCCAAATGCAAACTCAGTAACTCAAGGTAAAAGCCCTGCTGCAAATAATATTGTTTCAAAAAAGCCATGTGTAGCATATGCACAAAACTATCGAACAATGACATGTCTACCTTTTATGTAAGAGAATTGTTTCTTGGCAATATGTTTCTTATATGATCCCAAAGATATTTCATACTGATGTTATTTAGATGCAAATATTTTTGTTTAGAATTTGTCATAACATTTTTTTTACATTTCTTTAAGTGTGAAAATATCATTGTTAGATCGCTTAGCTATCTTATAGTAGTGTACTTTGTCTTTCTGATGTATGATATAGGACTGCTTCCTTGCTAAAGGGACTCAGTGAAGAATAAGAATGTTTGAAAAGTTTACAATTTATATACAAAGACTTCAAAAAGTTCATGGAGAATATCCATTATGAAAAACCTGAATAGGGGCCCGGCAGCATGGCCTAGTGGCTAAAGTCCTCACCTTGAACGCCCCGGGATCCCATATGGGCGCCGGTTCTAATCCCGGCAGCTCCACTTCCCCATCCAGCTCCCTGCTTGTGGCCTGGGAAAGCAGTCGAGGACGGCCCAAGGCCTTGGGACCCTGCGCCCATGTGGGAGACCCAGAAGAAGTTCCCGGATCCCGGCTTCGGATCGGCACAGTACCGGCCGTTGTGCTCATTTGGGGAGTGAATCGTTGGAGGGAAGATCTTCCTCTCTGTCTCTCCTCTCTGTATATCTGACTTTGCAATAAAAAAAAAGAAAAGAAAAGAAAAACCTGTTTAGATTTCAAAATGTTTAGCACCAACATTAATGTAAGTTCTAATGCTGTTGTCCATGAATTTTTTGAAGTACCCTCACACTTGACATGACCTGCCAACTTTTAAGAATTTTTTGTTGTTGCCTTTTTCCATGAACTGAGCAGAAAAGCAGACAATGAAGGATAGTTTGTATAACTTGCATTTGTAAAAATGAGATTTTTTTTGCAATAAAACGCTAAACTTTGAGGTTACCACTAAAATATTTTAAACTATGAGTAAGAAAACATTGTTTTATAATTATAACTTTACCATCTAGAATATATTCTTAATAATAGTACCCACTGAACATGATGAATGCTTTATTCAGTGTTTAATTTATATTTGTACTTTATTTTTGTATAAAAGTTACAGATTTATTTTAAACTTGGAGTGCTTATACTATTATGAAGTTGTAAATTATTTTATAAGACAGATTTAAGATAATCTCCAATTCCCTGAAACGTGTTTTAATGAATTTGTAAGACGTCCTTTTGCCCTGTGACTTATACAGTTTTAATCATTAAGATGTAAAATTGCTTTAAGTAAAAATGCCACCATGGTTCCTTGTTGTGGGGGGGAAACCTCTGGATTGGGCTTCATTGTTTTAGGTGTGCAGTGTAACAAGAGAGAAAGTGTCCAGCTGTTATAACTAGAAATATTCTTTGTATTATTTGTACTCATCTTTTAAATTTTATGTACCTGAGAGAGAAACAGTAAGAATAAAATTTCCTGTCTGCTGCCTCATTCCCAAAGGCCCACTGCAGCCAGGGCTGGGCCAGGCCAAAGCCAGGGGCCAGAAGTTCCCCTGGACCTGCCACTCCAGCTCTCGGCAGCCGCCCCACGGTGCACATTCACAGAAAGCCTGGACAGGAAACCAGGCCTGCAACATGGAATGAAGGCATCCCCAGCAGTTTCTTAACCGGTTGCCAAATGCCTTCTCCTGTGTGCGCTCCTTACAAAATAAACCTAGTCATTCCGCCCTGGCTGAGTGCTTGGTTATAGTCCCCCTTCTGGCTCAGTTCCCTGGTGCAGCAGGGATCTGGCTACGTATTACTTATCTCTCACTCCTCATACTCCCCTCCGAAGAGCATGTCCTGTCAGCCCCCCTCTAAAGCATTCAACAGCTACTTCTAGGCCTACAGTTCCAGGATCACATTTTCCAACTATCCCATAGACCATGGAACTTTTTAGACAGTCCCTCTCAGCATGTCCAGAACTGCCCACATTTTCCTCATCTTCCCTATCCCCCATGTCTCAGAGGAACTAGACAACCTATTCCTGTCTTTGCTAATGCAGCTATATCCCACGCTGTCTGACAAGATGCATTTCTTAAAACCAGGCAGCAGGAGCAGGCGTTGTGGCACAGGGAGTTCAACTGCACTGGGGATGCTGGCATCTCATATGTAGGAGCATCAGTTTGAATCCAGCTACTGTGCTGCTGATCCAGCTTCCTGCCGATGCCTCCTGGGGACAGCAGATGATGGCTCAAGGCCCGGGGCCTCTGCTACCTGTGCCCAAGGCATACATGGAATCTGGGGCTCCTGGCTTTGGCCCGGCTGTTGTGATTTGGAAAGTGAACCAGCAGATGGATATCTGTTTTCCGCTGTCCATATCTGTGTGTGTGTGTGTGTGTGTGTGTGTGTGTGTGTGTATGTGTGTGTGTGTGACTTTCAAAGGAAATGAAAATAAAATTTTAAAACATAATTCTATTTTATGTAATGTATTTTTTAAAGACAAAAAAGCAGGTAAACTTGTCGCTGAAGTAGAGGGAACAAACACAGGAGTGGAACCAATGCTCACCCCTCTTCCTTCCTCCGCAGCACCAGGATCCATCCCATCCTACATTAGATATTTTCACAAACTGGGGATTCTCTCCAGCAAGTGGCTGCTGTAGTCCCAGTAACCCCAGTTCTGCCTCCACTGCTGAGATTTATTTCCTAGAGAAAACCAGAAGTTCAGATTCCTTTTACTTCGATTCACATAATCCTAAAACTGTTAGAAAAGCAAATACCTACAGCCCCAAGCAGGCCGTCACCACCAGAAGTCCAGGTCTGAGACCCATCATGGGGGCCGGTGGATTGCCCGGGGAAGGGATTTTGGTGATGTATGGGTTTGGGACTGCCAAGGGAGTAGTTTACAGGTGTAGCATGACCTCAAGGGGATTCCACAAACCAGTCACTGTACTCACGAGTAAACAAGGGGGCTGGGACTAGGTGGTTTGGAGGTGAGGAAACTGGAGGGTATGTTTGGATCAGACCAATGCACCCACCCACATGGACAACCTGGGCTGGGCTAGGTGGCATCACCCACCACCAGTCTAGCACAAAAGCTAGACCTGGGGGCTAACCACAGTACCCACCAGTGAATGTCAGGGGAGCAGAATGACTGTACAGGGCTTGGTCATGAAACCAACCGGCACACAAGTCTGAGTCTGCAGGCAGATTTTGCAGGGGAATTTTGACTCACCCCTAAGGGTAGTGCAGTACCCTCTGATTTGTATAAGAGCTGGGGGTGATGATGGAACTCACCAACACTCACCTGAACTGGGGTTGGGAGCAGGCCAGGTTGGCCCAGGCTGCAATACCCATGGGAGCACCTGAAAATGGGGTCTGGGGCAGGCCAGGCCACAGCACCCACTAGCACACACAAAGGACTCGGGGCAGACTATGCCAGACAGGGGCATAGTACCTGCCTATATCCTTGAGATCAGGATCTATGAATGCATCTGGTGGAAGAACTTGGTGAATTCCCCTACTAGGCTGCAGGTGTTGTTGGTGAGCACAAGGGCTGGGCCAGGGACTTGGTCAGGCCAGGTAAGGCTACATTATCATGTGTGTGGGCTGGTTCCAGGAGTGGGCCAGCCAGGACCAGGCCAAACCTTAGCACTCACTGGTATGCTTGGGAGCAAGGACAGGGTATGTGGGCTGTGTTGGGCTAAGCTATTGCACCCATTGGTTCACATGAGAGCCAAGGATGGGCACAGTCTAGGCCGCAGCACCAGCTGTCAAGAGCCGAGACTGCAGGTGGGTCATGCCAGGCTGGGTCAGAGCACCACCCACACACTCAAGATTCAGCCTGGGAGTAAACTTGGTAATGGAGCCAAGGGGACTCCCCTGATAGGCTGTGGTTCCCACCAGTGAGTATAAGGGCAGGGGAGGACCGGCTAAACATGATTGCAGCATGCATGGGGCTAGGTCCAGTAGTGTGCCAGACTGGGCTAGGCCCCAGAACCTGCTGGCACTCAAGAGAGCCAGAATGAGTTAAGATGGGCTGGGCTATGTCCACATGAGAGTGGGTCTGAGGGTGGACCTGGCAAAGCAGGAATGGCTGCACAGCCAGTCAGGTGAGGCCACAATACCTACCAGTAGATTCTGGAACTGGAGGCCAGCATGTCAGGCTAGGCCAAGCACCCACCAGTGCTCACAAGATCCGTGCCTGGGAGCTGTCTGATAGGAACTTTGGAACTGCCATGTTAGGACACAGCTCCTGATGCTGAGGATGGGACAGCCCAGGCCAGGCCAGGTTACAATACCCATTGGCATACATGTGTGGGATGGAACTGGGGTGCTGTGGGCTGGGCATTCCACAGCACCAACCAGTATGAGCTGGGACTAGGGGCAAGCAGGGCTGCTGCTCCCACTTGTGAGCATGAGACCTGGGATTGGGGTAAACTAGACTGGGTAGGTCTGCAATAACCCTCGGCTTGCAAGTGAGCTGGGTTTGGGGGAGAGCCAGGCTGGACTAAGCCACTACATCCACTGGCATATGCAAGAGCCAGAATAAGTGCAGACCAGCCGGGCTTTGCCACAGCATCCACTGACAAGTGTAAGGATTGGGTACAAGTCATGTCAGGCTGGACTGAAGTACACCCTGGCAAATGCAAGATCCAGGGCTGGGGGCCAGGCATGATAGTATAGTGGTTAAAGTCCTCACCATGAACTCGCTAT